CGAGCCCCAGGTTGTCATCTGCGACATTTATTTGTTTTTCGACAGAGCGGAGGGGTCGGGGTGAGGGATTGGTGACGACACGTGACTTTTGACGTCACCACCCTTTGCAACCTAAGGTTCATATATATTATAAATTGAAAACATTTCAAGTGCGAGCCGGTAGCTCAGTCGGTAGAGTGCCATTCTCAGATCTTCAATCGCGGGGTTGGTGGTTCGAGCCCCAGGTTGTCATCTGCGACATTTATTTGTTTTTCGACAGAGCGGAGGGGTCGGGGTGAGGGATTGGTGACGACACGTGACTTTGGACGTCACCACCCTTTGCAACCTGAGGTTCATATATATTATAAATTGAAAACATTTCAAGTGCGAGCTGGTAGCTCAGTCGGTAGAGTGCCATTCGCAGATCTGCAATCGCGGGGTTGGTGGTTCGAGCCCTAAGTTGTCCTCTGCGACATTTATTATTTTTTTCGACATAGCGGAGGAGGCGGGGTGAGGGATTGATGACGACACGTGACTTTTGGCGTCACCACCATTTGCAACCTCAGGGTCATATATATTATAAATTCAAAACATTTCAAGTGCGAGCCGGTAGCTCAGTCGGTAGAGTGCCATTCGCAGATCTGCAATCGCGGGGTTGGTGGTTCGAGCCCTTAGTTGTCCTCTGCGACATTTATTATTTTTTTCGACATAGCGGAGGAGGCGGGTTGAGGGATTGATGACGACACGTGACTTTTGACGTCACCACCCTTTGCAACCTCAGGTTCATATATATTACAAATTGAAAACTTTTCAAGTTCGATCCGTTAGCTCAGTCTGTAGAGTGCTATTCTCAGATCTTCAATCGCGGGGTTGGTGGTTCGAGCCCCAGGTTGTCATCTGCGACATTTTTTTTTTCGACAGAGGGTTCGGGGTGAGGGATTGATGACGACACGTGACTTTTGACGTCACAACCCTTTGCAACCTGAGGTTCATATATATTATAAATTCAAAACATTTCAAGTGCTTGCCGGTAGCTCAGTCGGTAGAGTGCCATTCTCAGATCTTCAATTGCGGGGTTGGTGGTTCGAGCCCCAGGTTGTCATCTGCGGCATTTGTTTTTTTTTCGACAGAGCGGAGGGGGCGGAGTGAGGGATTGATGACGACACGTGACTTTTGACGTCACCACCCTTTGCAACCTGAGGTTCATATATATTATAAATTGAAAACATTTCAAGTGCGAGCCGGTAGCTCAGTCGGTAGAGTGCCATTTTCAGATCTTCAATCGCGGGTTTCGTGGTTCGAGCCCTAAGTTGTCCTCTGCGACAGTTATTATTTTTTTTCGACAGAGCGCAGGGGGCGGGGTGAGGGATTGATGACGACACGTGACTTTTGACGTCACCACCCTTTGCAACGTGAGGTTAATATATATTACAAATTGAAAACTTTTCAAGTTCTCATATCTTCAATTGCAGGGTTGGTAGTTCGAGCCCCAGGTTGTCATCTGCGACATTTATTTGTTTTTCGACAGAGCGGAGGGGTCGGGGTGAGGGATTGGTGACGACACGTGACTTTTGACGTCACCACCCTTTGCAACCTGAGGTTCATATATATTATAAATTGAAAACATTTCAAGTGCGAGCCGGTAGCTCAGTCGGTAGAGTGCCATTCTCAGATCTTCAATCGCGGGGTTGGTGGTTCGAGCCCCAGGTTGTCATCTGCGACATTTATTTGTTTTTCGACAGAGCGGAGGGGTCGGGGTGAGGTATTGGTGACGACACGTGACTTTGGACGTCACCACCCTTTGCAACCTGAGGTTCATATATATTATAAATTGAAAACATTTCAAGTGCGAGCTTGTAGCTCAGTCGGTAGAGTGCCATTCGCAGATCTTCAATGGCGGGGTTGGTGGTTCGAGCCCTTAGTTGTCCTCTGCGACATTTTTTTTTTTTCGACATAGCGGAGGAGGCGGGGTGAGGGATTGATGACGACACGTGACTTTTGACGTCACAACCCTTTGCAACCTGAGGTTCATATATATTATAAATTGAAAACATTTCAAGTGCGAGCTGGTAGCTCAGTCGGTAGAGTGCCATTCGCAGATCTGCAATCGCGGGGTTGGTGGTTCGAGCCCCAGGTTGTCATCTGCGACATTTATTATTTTTTTCGACATAGCGGAGGAGGCGGGGTGAGGGATTGATGACGACACGTGACTTTTGGCGTCACCACCATTTGCAACCTCAGGGTCATATATATTATAAATTCAAAACATTTCAAGTGCGAGCCGGTAGCTCAGTCGGTAGAGTGCCATTCGCAGATCTGCAATCGCGGGGTTGGTGGTTCGAGCCCTAAGTTGTCCTCTGCGACATTTATTATTTTTTTCGACATAGCGGAGGAGGCGGGTTGAGGGATTGATGACGACACGTGACTTTTGGCGTCACCACCATTTGCAACCTCAGGGTCATATATATTATAAATTGAAAACATTTCAAGTGCGAGCCGGTAGCTCAGTCGGTAGAGTGCCATTCGCAGATCTGCAATCGCGGGGTTGGTGGTTCGAGCCCTAAGTTGTCCTCTGCGACATTTATTATTTTTTTCGACATAGCGGAGGAGGCGGGTTGAGGGATTGATGACGACACGTGACTTTTGACGTCACCACCCTTTGCAACCTCAGGTTCATATATATTACAAATTGAAAACTTTTCAAGTTCGATCCGTTAGCTCAGTCTGTAGAGTGCTATTCTCAGATCTTCAATCGCGGGGTTGGTGGTTCGAGCCCCAGGTTGTCATCTGCGACATTTTTTTTTTCGACAGAGGGTTCGGGGTGAGGGATTGATGACGACACGTGACTTTTGACGTCACAACCCTTTGCAACCTGAGGTTCATATATATTATAAATTCAAAACATTTCAAGTGCGAGCCGGTAGCTCAGTCGGTAGAGTGCCATTTTCAGATCTTTAATCGCGGGTTTCGTGGTTCGAGCCCTAAGTTGTCCTCTGCGACAGTTATTATTTTTTTTCGACATAGCGGAGGGGGCATAGTGAGGGATTGATGACGACACGTGACTTTTGACGTCACCACCCTTTGCAACCTGAGGTTCATATATATTATAAATTGAAAACTTTTCAAGAGCGAGCCGGTAGCTCAGTCGGTAGAGTGCCATTCTCAGATCTTCAATCGCGGGGTTGGTGGTTCGAACCCTAAGTTGTCCTCTGCGACATTTATTATTTTTTTCGACATAGCGGAGGGGGCGGGGTGAGGGATTGATGACGACACGTGACTTTTGACGTCACCACCCTTTGCAACCAGAGGTTCATATATATTATAAATTCAAAACATTTGAAGTTCGAGCAGGTAGCTCAGTCGGTAGAGTGCCTTTCTCAGATATTCAATCGCGGGGTTGGTGGTTCGAGCTTCAGGTTGTCATCTGCGACATTTATTTTTTTCTAAGACGGAAGGGGCGGGGTGAGAGATGATGACGACACGTGACTTTTGACGTCACCAACCTTTGCAACCTGCGGTTCATACCTAATATAAATTGAAAACATTTCAAGAGCGAGCCGGTAGCTCAGTCGGTAGAGTGCCATTCTCAGATCTTCAATCGCGGGGTTGGTGGTTCGAGCCCCAGGTTGTCATCTGCGACATTTACTTTTTTTTCGACATAGCGGAGAGGGCGGGATGAGGGATGCGTAATTTTTTTTCCTAGGAGGGTTAGGACCAATGTCATGAATAATTCAGTTTTTCCTTTGAATCATTGCAAGACTTAGGTTCTCGTTCCTTTTTCCCCTTAATTTAAAATTATCTCAGTGATAAATTTGGAGAAGAAAAATAGCTGATGAAAATGAGCAGCGACGACGTGGATTCGAACCAGGGATCCTTGTATCCATAGCTCATCTCGCTATCCACTAGGCTACTGTGTGGTAGCTCGACGACAACCGTTCTTTAAAATGCTTTAATGTATTGTAACTAGTTGAGTAACTAACAACAATGCTGTTGATGTCATTGTCCGTTCTCATGGATAAATATGAAATATTCATGACATTGCCACTAACCCTCCTAGGAATAAAAATTACGCGAGCCGAAGCCACGATGTCTCACTCAATTTCCAGCAGTGTAGCGGTAGGGGTCGCGCGTCGGGTCACACGGGTTGCCTGAGAGACGTTCCCAATAAAGCACGTACCCATCACATTTTACGCGGTTGGGGTGTTGTTGGCTTGAACAACAACCCCCCCCCCCCCGCCCCCGCCCCTGGTGTGATACGTAAATCACACCTGGATATTACAATGCTTGCCACGAAGCTAAAGTGTTCCTAGGGGAACTTGAGGGAGGTCCTGAACATATGAATTATTCATACCAAAAATAGTTGGGATCAAGCATTCATCATGCTGTACTTACGCGCAAGAGTAAAAAAAAAAGCGAAAATAGGTTGTCCCGAAATTAACATACGGTTCTTTAAAAAGAGTGTAAGTTAATTCACTCTTAAATTAAAAAAGCGATTTTTGCTAGGGGCCCTAGTGAGAAATTACTGGAAAAAAAAGATGCAAACGTCACCTTAAAAGAGTGAAAAACCACTCGAAAGGAGTTGTTCCCCATATGTCTTTTTTAGAAGCGTACGTGGTTTTCCGACTTTTTTTACATACACACACAGACAGGCAGAATCTGTAGTGTTCGTATTTTATTCGGACACTAATTTTGAAACGATTAGAACCTTGAAACGAAAACAAGATTAAAACAGGATGAAAATATCCTGCAGTACTCGACGTAAACAATCTAAATCCTGCAAACTGGAAGAAACAGAACCGGCTCAATGTTTTCGGTAAACATCATATCCAAACCAACATAACCAAATGTTCAAGTTGAAGGTCAAGTCAAAACTAATCTGAGCTACGGAGTGGAAAAATAAACATACCAAACCAAATGTTCTCAACAGGCGAAGAGCCATACAGGCTTCGGTTAATAAAGGGGTCGTTCCGACTGATCCATGTTGGGGATCGTCATGTCGGGGATCGTCTGTTAGAGCTACTTTGAAAAATACCAAGATGGGTCGACGTGGCGAGTTCAACTTGGAAGAAGAGCCCGGTCGTAAAGGGAACGGTATCTACTGCAGTCAGGGCGTTCTCGTCTTCACCGTTCTTACAGTATGCGTGTTAATTGCAGCCACATCGCTCATGACGTACTACATCCCTCTCTCCCTCAAGGACGACGGTGTTGCAACCAAAGCACCTGCAGCCTGGACTGATGCTCCAACTAACAAGCCCATGGCTACCGATCCACCTGCCGAACCGACCACCACGCCACCTTCGGATCTCATGCGAGGCCGGCTGCCGAAGACGGTTCTGCCTCGCCGGTATGAAGTCAACCTGCGACCGTTCCTATATGATGATGATGTTCCCGACTCCAAAATGGGAGAGAGGTTCACCTTCGATGGTTGGGTGCGGATTAAAGTCGAATGCATCGAACCGAGGGATGAGATTACTCTGCACTCCAAAAATATCACCATTCATGGCATGCCTACCGTCCTTAGTGTCAGCACCCTAGACAAGACCGATCTCTTTGAGAGCTATAAGATGGTGGAGGAATACGCGTTTATGATCCTGAAGTTGAAACAAATGATGAAGCCACACCAGGAATATGACATCTACATGCAGTACTCAGGAATTCTGGGGGATGACGAAGCAGGATTCTACCCTGACATGTATCTGGATCGCTTCAACAATACAAGGTAAGGATAAAGACCTTTGGCTACACCAGTTGATAAAGACATCGTCATGGTGTCGCAAACTCCTGATACGAATTCTGTAACTCAAGTCCCAAAAAGGTATCTTTCATTTACCTCAATTGTTTGTTGTTGAAAAAATAGGTTGTCCTGTGACTGGTGATATACCATCCCGGGGTTCTACCTCAATAGATACTAAATAGCTGAGCTTCCGACAGATTATAAGCATATGAACCTACTGACGGACTAGTCCGACGATCTAAATGTTTTATTAACAAAAAGGCTGACTAACCAAAGCCGCTCGATCATTTTTGTTTAGCCAAATTCTGGGCAGGGGGAGGGGGACCGGAGGCACAGGCCTCCGCAAGCAGTGATCATCCATTGAGTTAATCCACCACTGAGTAAATCATTATCACCCATCAATGCTAAGTGAACGGAGAGGTTTTTTTCTACATCTAGATACATCGCAACGACTCAGATGGAAGGGCCGTACGCACGACGCGTACTTCCATGTTTTGATGAGCCTACCTTCAAAGCTTCCTACGACGTTCAACTGGAACATCGTAACGATATGCAGGCGCTTTCTAACGGCATTGAGACGAAGCACATCCGGCTGGATGGACACTGGTCCAGGACTTACTTCGAACGAGTCCCGTCGGTGCCCACCTACCTTCTGGCTTTTGTAGTACATGACTTTTCTTCCATCAATGTCACCAATGCCAATGGGTGTTTGGTAAGGACATTTTTCTGGCTTTGTTTCGCTTGAAATCATCACATAACCACAATAACAACTAATTACTTGGTTCATTTGGTCAATTTGGAAATTGCCTTAAGTATACTACCAATTTCCTGTTTCAAGTCCTTGTTTCATCGAAGTTTAACAAAACTATTTCGCAGTGTAAATATGTTCACGCCACTACATACAAGCATCTACATGCATGAGGCTAAGTAAAGTTATTTTGTCGAACAAATATTTCATAATCTGTTTTTCGGATACATTTGTTGTGTTATCTTAAACCCGATGACTTTTATAGTTTCAGGCCTAACTTCATGAACCAGGTGAGACAATTCAATTTACTCTTCAGATTCGTGTGTGGTGTCAGCCGGACCTCATTCACCTAGCTCCCTACGCCCTCAATGTCTCAGATAGGGTCCAGACATATTTCGACGATTACCTAGGCAGCGAATACCCACTGGCTAAACTAGGTAAGCTTTATATGTACTCCGACGTCTCTGAAATGAACTTGTGTCAGAAATAGACATGATCAGCCAACTGACTTCTTGTTGAGAAATACAGGTTTCAGCTGACGTCAATTGACAACGGCCTGTAACTGGTGACCACAAATCACACCAGGACTCGCTAAAGAAATTAATTTAAGTCAGTACCTCATTGATCTTCACCGGGTCAAAGTTATCAACCAGGTCAAATGTTATCTAATACTTGCGAAAAAAAACCATGTATTCCGCTTTTGCACAGCCTATTAGATACAAAGTCAAGCTTTAAATTAATATTGCGACAGACGCCGTTTAAAGGGCGAGTTGCATGGTACGTGGGATTTTTAAATACAGAATAAAAGTCTGAGAATTTTATGATAAATAGACGTCTGGTCAGTTATCGCACTCCGACGATTTAAAAGATGAGATCAACACGGTGCTTGTTCTATTTCCACTTTCTCAGATCACATAGCGGTCCCGAGCGAAGTTGCAATGGAGAACTGGGGCCTGATCATCTACGAAGACTCATACCTTCTCTACGGATTGCAGGCTTTATACGGAGAGGCGTACTGCTCTGAAACCATCACCCATGAATTGGCACATATGGTAATTTATCTTCAAATGACCCATATACCTAATGGTCTCAGGTTGATAGGTGGCATTTATTCCGATATGCATTGTGTGACCAGGTGGAGCATGGTACCAAAATTATAGACTGTCACCGTTATGAAAGTTTCATTAAACATAACTTTAGGCTTTGCACTAAAGACCTTTGTTTGCATCAGTATTAAGCAATGCTGAGATCGACTTGACAAAGCTTTTGAGTGTCTTTTTAAGTTACTTGCACAGTCCACAAATGATCGTTTCTCTTAAAAAGTCCAACAGGTTGTCCGACAAAAGCAGCGGCAGATAACAGTAGTTGGGAGTATATGCTTATGTGTGGTCTACAATTAAAATATATTAGACTTACATCGGGAAACAGTATACTTGAGGTCAAAACAAATCACCATGTTTGTTTGTGTTGACACATTTTATGTTTAACTATCAGAGTCTCGTGGATTTTCCTATCTTGTATTTCCAGTGGTTTGGTAACCTTGTGACAATGGAGTGGTGGGACGACCTGTGGCTTAACGAAGGCTTCGCAACCTACATGGAGCACATAGGTGTCGATCACGTGCACCCTGAATTCAACAAGGTACACGAGTAACATGACTTGTTTCATGAAAACTTTCGTAAATAAATAAAAACGAAATTGATAATTCAATAATAGAGATGAAGTCTCAAGAAAGGAAAATCGTATCGTGCTCAAATATAATATCCCCCACTTCGAAATTAACTGAACTTAAAGGGAAGATACAACATTTGCAAACATCACAAAAAGAAATGGTCAAATTATCACGAAATGCCTTACTGGATTGTTAGGGAATGACAGTCTAAAGCATCCTATAAAATTGTGGCTCCTGGTGTGCTGACATATTCAAGAAACTGGTATTTTTCCAACGCTGGCCGGCCGACCAGCTTTGGAGAAAACAGGCTTTTTTCAAAAATTGCTCCTAATGTTTCATAATTAGTTATTCCACGTTTTCTTTGCAATTGATTACACACCTGTGAAGGGGTACAAGCCTGCTAGACTTATTCTCTGACCCCACAATTCCCAAAGTCTTTAAATTGCTCCGTTTCATCTTAAGTGGGGTCAGGGAACCAGACCACAAGAACATGATAGGTTTTCTTGATTTTTCAAGCATCTACAAGCCCAAAACGTGAAACAAGTCATTTTAACAATATTTGCTAGATTATACTAATCCTCCAAATCCATTTATTTCTGAAAATTGCAGCAAACGCAAATGTTGTACATTCCCTTTAAATACTAATGCCGACAACAAAAATATGTCACCCATTATAAAAGCCTTACTTTAAAATCTAATAACTAACCCGAAAGCAAGGAAGTGGTGTTATGTATGCGCATGATTATTTTTTGGTGTAATACTTTACAATCATACTCCAATAACTAATTTAAACCCAACGTTCAAAAAACTCTATTTGTGATGATTGGAAACATGTGAATGGTCGATTTTGATGTTACGATTTGGGATATCGAAACGAATATTCTCCGTTATTAGAGAAAATGTATGTCTCCCCTGCTACGTGAAGTGAATTTATCCATATGGAGTGTACGTGTTGTTCCTAACCCGTACCAAAATCAGGTGGGTCAAGTTTTTGACCCCTGTTAAATCCCATCCAGTTTTGACAGGTGCGTTTTCATTCCCTATTCGAATGTATTGGCATTTTCCCTCTATTTAAATCGGGTTTTTCTTAACCTCGAGTATCAGGGTTTTTTTTTTTGCGACCATGCATTCCAACACATCATCACGAAATGGAGAGATTTGGAAGATATTGCAAAGTACAATATGAAAGTGCATACAAAATTAATGGAAGGTTTTGGGATCCTCGGTAGCATCGCGTGGTGCTTCCGTAATACCTATTCATGTTCATATATTCATATTCATATTCGTAGCAGATTTCCCACACTAACGTACTTGGTATGCTCATCAGTGGCGTAGCCAGGGGGGCCACAACCCCCCCCCCCCCCCCCACAAATCCCCAGTTCCCCCAGGTGCCCCCTAGAACAAATCCGTAATTTGCAGGTTGCCAAGGCAGTGTCTTTTTAAAGTATTTTATTAAGTTAAAGGGAAAATACAACATTTGCAAACATCAAAAAATAAAACTACCAAATCATTTTGAAATACCTTGCTGGACTGTTAGTGAATGACAGTATAAAGCATCCTGTAAAATCATGGCACCTGGTATACTGTCATTTTCAAGAAAAGTGGTATTTTTGTATCAATTTCCAACGCTGGTCGGCCGACCAGCGTTGGAAAAACTGGCTTTTTGTCAAATACTGGCCCCAATTGACCTCGCACTTGTTTGCAATCGATTACACACCTATGAACGGGTACAAGCCAGCTAGACTGGTTCTCTGACCTTACAATTCCCCAATGTATGTAAACTGCTCTGTTTCTTCTTATATGGAGTCAGCGAACCAGACTACAGGAAAATGATTGTTTTTCTTGGTTTTTATAGCATTTTCGAACCCAAAACCTCAAAAAAGTCAGTGTAATTATATTGGCTATATATTTCCAACCCCCCAATTCCATCCATTTCTGAAAATTACAGCAAAAGCAAATGATGTATATTCCCTTTAACGAAGAGGACTCCAGATGAAGAGGACTCCTTTTTTGACTTCCCTTAACCGTATGGCTTTATGAAATGTGATAACATGCTGGTTCCCCCCCCCCCCCCCCCACCGAAGAAAAGCCCGGCTGCACCATCGATGCTCATGCTGTGCCAGTCCGACTTTGGCTCACAATTCTAGGTCTTTATGACTTCGCTGCTAGGAATGAGTACTTCCAATTCAAAATACGTTGCCGCGTCAAATCATGGAAACAAACTGGGTTTTCAACTTTTTTCTAGTAATGTAAGGCATAATGTGGATTAACCTTTGACCCCGATCTTTGAAATATGGGCAGTACAAAAACAAAAAATGCTGTTTTACATGCATCCGCGTTTGATTAAGTGCGTAATTTTGATATTTAAACAAATACAAATAGAAACCAGTTAATCAGTAGAGGCTCCAACTCTCCCGAGACCACAGATATTCTCTTTAAGCATGTTGATAGCACTTCATCAACGATGGGCAAGTGACCTATGGTGGCATTAAAGGGTTTTGCATTCTACGTGCCTACCTCGCGGCACTTTCTAGACTCCTATACGGTCTAGAAACTGCGCCAGAATAAGTTCATGAACTTGCTTGCTGTCATCTTAATACCACAAACTGGTTTTGACAAATTTGCATTTATTACACTGATAACGATTGGCAAAGCCTAATAAAACAAATATAGGGCATACTCTCTCAGAACTGCCATCAAATAATTATTATGTGAATGTTTATCCCAGGAGGAGTGGCTGCATGGGGGTCGCAATGAGTATCAAGCATCGCCTAGTAGAATAGACGACAAAGTCGCTATTTTGTTTACATTGTTCACGAATATTTCGGGTATTTTGGGACATCGTATTTTGTACTTATATTTTGATATTTCAGTTAGCCTGCAATAGAGCCTGAAAGTTCACCACTGGTGGTGCGCTTCCGAAACCATCGAATAGGAAAATTAACGCCCACAAATTATTATTTGCAATTACAATGTACATGTATTTTTGGTACATATGTCGTGAAAGAGGAATATCGTGCCCAAAAAAATCGACTTCTGACTTCCGTAAATCTAAAATACACATGGACTAGTTAAACTCGGTGTATTTGTACAAAGATGAAAATTTATGAAAACTGAAATTTAAATAGGAGACTAAAGTGTCTTTTAGGATATTTTTTTTAATAAACTTGAAGTACTCATCAGCATTATATTTACATTTTGTTAAATGACCACTGATAAGGACTGCATTCAATTCAAGTCAGCCCGACTAAATCTAGAGCTACAGAGAGCCTACCTTTGCAAATAGCACCTGCTATTGAAAACCGGAAGTGGGAAAAGCAACAATTTTGAGTGAAAACTTGACATCATGTGTGACCTCACACTCCCGATTGTGTGACCGCGCACACTTCTGTGACACACAGAAGGCATCAGACAGACAGACAGACCGACAGACCGACATCAGACAGACATCGTATGATCTTTTAATACAGGATAGCTCTATATGTATCTTCCACTTTTCGTTCCAGTTCCAAAGCTTCTACAACGACATCACCGAAGGAGCTCTGGCTATTGATAGTCTGGGTACCTTTCCTGCTATAAGAGCACCAGTCTACGCAGATGATGACGACATAAGCAATGCATTTTCATTCGTTACGTACTATAAGGTATAGCACACATAAAGATTCAATTATCAATTTTAACTGCATTGTTGTTATACAAACTTTGACAACAGTGAGAAATCACAATTTTTTAAACGTCTTGAGCAGACCTGATTTAACCGAAATATAATTATGTAAATTGCCTTCAAATCCACTGATTACGATAGAAGTTTTTAACAGAAAGGTAAAATCCGCAGAATACCCTCTCTCCAAAAACTATTTCTTATTAAGATATCAATACGAAACCACTAACAAGAATATCATAATTGCATGGTATGATTCCGTTTTCAGGGTGGATCGCTGCTCTATATGATGGAGCATTTCCTGACAATTGAGGTCTTTAATCAAGGTGTGAAAAACTACCTCAAGGAACGCGCTTACAAAAATGCCAACGCGGAGCACCTGTGGCACGAACTAACTTACGTAGGTATATGCGGCCTATATTTTTAACTTTATTGTGTACCAAAGAGGCTGCTTAAGTCACTCCTAAATTTCAAAGGGTGTGTGATGAACTGATATTACAATCTACAATTCGAATCTAGGGTTCATCAGTAGAAGTCAAACCGCGAGAATTTATAGGAAGTGAACATCTGAACAACTAAACTGAACAACTGAAGTGAACTAACCTCTGATTTTTTGTGAGTGCTGCAACAAATGCATTATTTGTGTCCACTTTCGTTGATGCCCATAGTCTCCCAGTTTTGTACAGGCTGAGTAAAAAAAACCTGAAACCCAAATGTCGGGACTATTGTTTTAGTGAAGTTATGAATGTAGCACTTTCCAAATTTAGAATATGAAAGCCCAATTCATAAGATTTCTTTTAGTGAAAGAATCATTCAAAGCACTTATGGACTCTTCAAGTTTTTTAAACACAACCACCATTTTAAAAATCTGTCCACGGATCACAAACGAGATGTGCGTTCTTTCAGCAAAACGAAAACAATTCACACACATCTGTATGTGATTTCTTTTCGTTTTGCCAAAAGAACACTTAGGCCCTACTCACCCTGTATTGTTATTGTTTCCCATTCCCAGAATTTCGCAGAATTTTGTCTTTACCCGCGCGATTAACATTCTCTGAGTTCAGTGACAAAAAAATACATCCCTTTGGTGTGCAGGCTGACAGGGATGTTGGTAAACACGACGTGAAGAAGATCATGGATACTTGGACCTTACAGCGTGGTTATCCCTTGATAACACTGACAAGAACAGGGAACAGCATCGTGGCCACACAGAGGATTTTCCTTCAGATTAACAAAACAATTGAAGATGACGGATTTGGAGACCTTGGGTAAAATATTAAACTTTATATAATGAAATTCATTTTCGTGAGGCATAATATCACTTCACAGTTTCACTTTTTATGGTGTTTCGGTTCGCAAACATTTTTATATTAACGAGAGTGAGTAGGCCTAGGCCCAAAGGGGGAAAATCGCTTTGTGCAAATCGCTCAACTTGCAAGAAATGACGTAACATCACACATTTTACAACATTCTAATTTTGAAGACTTTTTGGTAGGTAAATTCAAATGGTAGCTGTGTTTTTATTCCAGGTATAAATGGTATGTTCCTCTCACATATGTGTACGAGTCTGGACCTGGTGATCAATATGAAAAACCGCAACAAGTTTGGATGGAACCATCAGACGATTACAGTAAGTACTCATGGATTGCTGCTGCTGCTGCTGCTAATTTATCAATAACTGCTTCCAGCGTTTTCTCTGCTGCTTTTGCTTTCTAATGTTGCTGTCGATATTGCTGCTGCCACTGTAATTTAATGATGTTGCAGCTGCTTTTGATGCTATTACTGCTTGGTGCTGGTGCTGGTTTTGTTGCTTGCTCTTCTGATCCTGCTGTCTAGTTGCTGCCACTGCTGCCGTACTGCTGCTTATATAAGCTGCTGTTATACTAGTGCTGTTCTGCTGCTATTGCTGCTGCGGCTGACGCCGATGCTTCTGATGAGTAGACTGTACATAAAAGAGTATTCACACAAAAATAAGGTAACAGCAAAGACATTAGTGGAAAACATCTGAATAAGTAAACAGAAATTTTGAATTGATTCGATGTTGCGATTCCAATCCAGCATACTTCGATCTACCAGACGATGCTAAAGCTGACGACTGGTACCTGGCCAATGCCAAGATGACTGGTTTCTATCGCGTCAACTACGAAGACGACAACTGGCAACGACTCTTGGATCAAGCAGCAATGGACCCCGACGTACGTGACATTCACTTCGTTCAAACGACTGACACATGCATGTATATTATGGGTAATGTGTAAGCTGCCACGCCTCGAATGTGAAACTCAAATGTGCCGGTGGTGTTATGTTGGACTCATCGTCTCTGCCATTTTATCGCATATTATGGAGGAAAAAACAATTCAGGTGGTTCCTAAATCTTTACATACAAATCAAGCATCGCTGTCAAATCTTATAAATAAACATGCAAATTATGAAATGTTGCTAATGATGTGTGTACAGGTCTTCAGTGAGGAAAACAAGGTGGGTCTGATCAAAGACTCGTTCAACCTGGCAAAGACAGAGGTCGTTCCGATGTCATATTATCGCAGCTTCTCTGAAAGTCTTAGAAACAATTCCAGGAGAACCAGACGAGCTGCTGTTTCAACTTCATCCTATTTTGCCAAGATGTTGGACACTAAGACCAACATCAAAAGGCGCTCTGCTGTACAGGTAATATCTTCTGATTTGTATATTAACTAGTAGAACTCTATTCCCTCGTAACACAGATATGACATTTTTACCCTCATTAATACCAAGACGTTTCCCATTGATACCATCGTAATGACCATCGTTATAACCATCCAACGTGTCTTTCTCTTACAGACTTATGCGCAAAGTCTAGTAGAGCCACTGTACATGGAGTCTGGTTGGGATGAGAGCTTTGTTCCTGATTTACCAGCAGCAAGGTAAATTAAAGTCACGTAATCACCGTCAATTTTTTAAAGAAAATAAATATTTGATAAAAGTAACTCCTCACGGCTATTTCACCTTCTACAAAATTAAAGTAACCGTTTTTTATTGACCACAAACCTATACCGTTCTTGTTGGGTGGTTCATCGAATCACCGTTAGATTTTCTCTTTAAGTTGGTTCCCCTTTCGTTCTTTGAAATATCCAACTGAATATCTTGCATCATGCCTGCCAGATGTGTTGACATTTTTTGTTTGCTTTGACAGTGTTCGACGCGGAAAGAGTAGCCGGTTTGACATAACTTCGATAGCATGTCGCTATGGCAACAGACACTGCATTACCAAGGCAACCGACATGTACAAGGAATACATGAATGATCCGACATATAACACGTAAAGTAATAATACTTTTAATCAAAATTTTGAAACATTGTTCGTCCAGTTTACACAAAATAGTCCGAGAGCCCAGTGAGGTTTAATTAGAATATCGCATGCAAAGGGTTTGATGTAGCAGCGAGTAGGTGATGGGGTGTGACGTAAGTGGGTGAGTGTTGAGTGACGTCACATTTGCCTTTTACATACATTGCAGAATTCCAGACAATTTCAGAACGACTGTGTACTGCAATGGCATTCGTTTTGGAGGCGAATCGGAGTGGGACTTTGCTTTTGATATGCTGCGAACAGGTGACGACCGCCACGAGAGGGCGCGATGGGCTAGCGCCCTCACGTGTTCTGTAGACGCTTCTCTTCTTCAGAGGTATCTTTATTGTCGGATTATTAAAATGTGACAGCCTCAACCATGAGCTTAAAGCGGACTTATAAAAAGTCCAAGTGAAGTGGTCGCAAATTGGGCATAATGTAAACCTAGATTTATATGAATTGGACGGGGCTGCTACTTTTATGCACCCGTTCAGAAAAAGACTTGTTTCATTTCACAAACGTCTGTTGAAAAAAAGTGATATCGAATTAAAACAAATAATGATGTTGGCCTACTTGTAAAAATAAAATTGTAGAATTTATCTGACTTACTCATCACGAGTTTCGTCTACGGTTGATTTTCCTTCATAAAATCTAGATACATCTACCAAGGCCTTTATTTACAATCAATGGCAACAAAAAGTTATAACCTTAAAAAAGATCCGATGAGTACACCCCACAGCTTTTTCAGATAATCTAGATCAAGGCCTTGATAATTGCAAACAAATATCCTTTTTTTCAAAAACAGTTATCTACAGTTGATGATGGATTCAACCACTTTCAGTCGGAGGGATGTCGAGCTTATCCTTATGGGCGTGGCCGAAAATCCCGATGGATGCGCGGTGGCTTGGGACTTTTTGCGCGACAACTGGGATGCAATCAGTACCATGTAAGTAATGTTAATTACAATTCAAAATGCTAACTGCCCTAGCATTGTAATCTACACACTTTGTGCTCGATGTCAAAACATTATATTAGTGTGATTCTACAAATCTGGTTTACTCGTTGAGTGACTGAAGATACTAGAGTCCATAACCTATTATCATTCCCTGTTTTGTAGAATTTCTCTACCACAAAGCTTATTGGGGTCTATTGAACAATAGCCAACAAATATCTTCACAGTAAATATGAAGCCTTACACAAAAGTCAGTATGCATGACTCAACGGTGCAAGCCATTTCCAATACTTTTGTCTATGTCAGGCTCAAAGGGAAGCGTCAATCATTGTGCGATATCTTTGAGGAGATTACATCATTTTTCAACACCAAGGAAGAACTTCAAGAGGTAAAGAGAATTGATTGTGAGAATGCCCTTGAAGATGTGACCTTGCTATCTTTGTGTGAACCTGAAAACAAGGCAGGTCCACACGGTGCAGGTTGTGTGAACCTTCTGTGGACTAAGCCAGGTCCACACAAGGTTTCCCCCTCTCTTGAAAACAGGTTTAGAGGCGTTTTGGGGTTAGGGTTATCCGTCGCAAAATGGGTTGAAAGAGTGTTCACTGTGTGAGTAAATAATGTGCTTTTTTCCGGTTTTTCTGAACTACACGAAGACAAAGGAATGTCCACACTACGTATGTAAGGTAGGCCTGTGCAATGATAACCAGTGCCATGCCTCCATAAAAAAAAAACCAATTAACCTGGTTTTAAATTAAGGTTGTTTTTTCCAGTTGCTAGATTTTGGCCACGGCCGTAATCTCGGTGCTCTGAAGTATGCGTACAAGTCGGCCATTGCTTCAACCGAGGTTAACATCAGATGGATGGAAAACAACGCTTCTGAAGCTGAAGAGTTGGTCCGACCTGCAATCTAAACAGCGCCCTCAAGAATCAAAAAGTCATCAAAATTCAACATGATTAAAGATGACAACTTAAACAGCGAGAGCGATATCAAGCTTACGTAAAACAGAGGACGTCTTATCGGATGCGTCTTCCAGTAGGAAACACCACGTCTAACAAGAAAATGCAAACAGAAATTGCAAAGAAGCCTAAAACAATTAAGCAAGTACGCTACATTGATGAAACGTTACAAACACCTCAACCTGAAGATTAAGCAACAAAGCAACTAGACGACGAGTGACTTAAAAATTTGTATTTCCTAAAAGTGATGGGAAAATTGTAATTGTTTTGGTAATGGTAAAATACTATTTAGTTCAGTAGAAACATAATTACTGTAGTCGCTTGAATTATCTTTTTTAATTAACTGTAATACAATGTAACACGTTATATGATGTTTTTTAAACATCGTTTGTATTTTACTACAACAGTAATAACTGTAATGTAATTCAATCAAATCAAATCAAAAGTCAGCATTACACTAATCTAAAACATTTATACGTTCATTTTACGATAAAGATTTTTTTATTATTTAATAAGGGAGAAAAATCGTTAAATATTCAAATTGGATATGAACGATTGTAATGGATTTCGATTCAGCTACTCTTGAAGTAGATTAAGTTTTTAAGTTGATTGCAGATGCTTTGCTAATATTATTGCGAATTATCAGCGCCTAGGCCTATAGAGAATTACGTAACTGACTAAAACATGTAATTGATTAAAAAATTAGACAAATGAAGGTAGTATACTGAAAGCAATTGGATCTTACCCTTTGTGGTGGTTGTATGTGTGTTTTTTCGGCGACGATATCGCGACATTTTGGCCAAGGGATAAAACGAAATGACATGTACTAAGACAAGATATCCCAGACGCGCACATACCACAAGCTTCCAGAGGGAATGGGATGTTTTGGTTATATGTACTTTCATTTGGACTCAGAAAGGTGATGCACACTGATTATTTTTTCCTCAAACCATCGAGGGTTTGTGCTTGGTGGCGCTCTCCAGAAAAATAGTCGCACATTGCCCCCCCCCCCCGACTAGACTAGGAACGCGGGTCTAGATGGACCACGCACTCTTCGAATTTTACAATGTAAGCGGGGGTGTCGTTGGTTCGAAAGATCCCCCCACCCCCATCCCCGCCGATCGCCGAAGAGTTCCACTTTTTTTTCTAACTTGCTTGGCCTCAAGATGTAAAATAACTTGTCAGTCCTGGCAATGGAGACCAATTTAATGACATTTAGTTCGAACCCCGACGTAGGGAGCCCAGGAGGTGTCATGGAGTCAGTGTTCTTGAACAAGAGACGTTACTACAGCTCTCCAACAAGGAGTAGATGTGTTGCTGGACATTAACTTAATTAACCCCAGCCCTCTGAGCTAATTACGCTACAGTTCATGACAAGTTTTGGCCCTAAAACTCCATATGCATGTACGCCTACAAACTTGACTCTCACCGCGAGATGACGCAATGCGGTTCATAAATCCATCGCGTTGAAGAATTCGAGCCTATCGTCCCGGAAACGTACAAAATAAATGTACATGTACACTTGACCTGCTACGAACAAACATTTGACAGGGTAAAAGAGAAATGGTTGTCACGAGACTTTTTAAGCACTACAAATAATCCCTAAACTCTAATATCGGCAAAACAAACAAAAAGTGGGTCACTTACTGAAGCAGGTTGATGACGACCACTGATTGGTCGTGTTGTTTGAAGCACATGTTTTGTTTGCGAAGTTGGCAGGGTTCAGAATGGGTGTAACGCGTACTTTGACCGTCACAAAGGTTTGCTCGTTTTGGAGACAAACACGTATAGAGAGGCTCCATTACCGAACCAGCCTGGAAGAGCATTTTGTGGCCTTGCAATTCCTGTTTCGGTACGGTTCTGAGACCTGGTGAATATCGTGATGGCTGACGAAACAAAACACGGGTGAGAAGACTCATTTCAATTCTGTCTCGCATTGAAGGTGCGAGACTCGATTGTTCAAACCTTACACAAAAGGGAATCTATATCCTTTTCGGCGCTAGATGTTATAATTCACCTTTCATGTTGAGGCTACCACGTCAACACTTTCAGTGCACTACAATGATGTTTTTGTCAACTTGAAAAAGTGTGACAAAGATTTAATATATCAAATTTTTGTGCGGTAGCATTCGTGAAGATACCGACGGAGATTGTTTATATATAGGTCTACTTGTAGTGAATTTTATTTATTTAATGGGGGGGGGTCCAGGAATCATCTGCAGTTTCTCAAAAACAAATCATCAACAAATATAGATTAAATTAGGCATATAGTGTTTTTTTATAAGCCGGCAAAATTGAAGTCGATACCGACCCATCCGTTCGGTTGACTACTGGTATAGCTTGGGCGCGCAAAACCGAAACATCCGAGCATCACGGCGAATCTACACTACTGTAGAGACTACGATTATAGTGGCACTTATTGATCTCATACTTTTAGCTCTTTCACAGAAGATGTTCGAAAGTACAGCAATCAGAAAAGGTACAGCGCAGAAGAGGTTGCCTCGGGAGATGATACCTCCACACGCAAGGGGAAGGGCATCTTCTGCAGTCCCCTCATGATCTTCTTCACCACCGTCACCGTCTGCATACTCATCGCAGCCGCGGCCTTGATGACGTACTACATCCCGATTGCTCTGGAGCCTACCCCAACAAAAGCACCCATCGAGGACCCTACCATACCCCTCATGCGGGGGCGGCTACCGACAACCGTGGTACCCCGCTTGTACCAACTCACCCTGCGCCCGTTCCTGTACGACGACGATGTGGCCGACTCCAAGCTTGGTAAGAGATTCACCTTCGATGGTCAGGTGACCGTCAGAGTCGAGTGCATCGAACCGACGGATGAGATTACTCTACACTCTAAGAGCATCACACTTCACAAGAGTCCCATCGTTCGCAGTGTCAGCACTTTGGATAAGACGACGGACATCTTCGAGAGCCTAAAGACTGTGGAGGAGTACGCGTTCATGGTCATCAAGTTGAAAGAAATGATGAATCCCCACCAGGAATACAGCATCGACATGGAATACTCTGGTATTCTAGGAGACGACGAGGCAGGATTCTACCCTAGCATGTATCTGGATCCATCGAACAATACAAGGTTAGTCAAGATCCAATGATTTCCAAAACCTTACGGTGTTATTGCATTGAAATTTATTGGATCAGTTGGATCTATGATTACACACAACACAATATGCCTCTAGGTCGGGTACAGTCATAATAGGCAATCAAACAAGGATAGCCGAAGATTTACAGGACATTCTAAAAACGTCAATCTCTTGTATGCATTTTAGATACATCGCGACGACTCAGATGGAGGGACCGTACGCACGACGCGTGCTTCCATGCTTCGACGAACCAAGTTTCAAAGCTACCTACGAAGTTCATCTGGAACACCGCAATGACATGAGTGCACTTGCGAACGGCTTGGAACTCGAGACAGTGAAGATCAATGACCGTTGGTCAAAAACGAAATTCACGACTGTGTATTTCATGCCTACCTATCTCCTGGCTTTCATAGTACATGACTATTCGAATATATCTGTGACCAACGACAATGGATGCTTGGTAAGCCACTTCCAACTGAAAAAAAAAGAAATACCCCGCCCAAAAAGAAAGAAAACCAAAGGATACAAAATAGACATTTTAAAATAGATATTTTAATATGTAACACTTAAGAAAACCAACGAAGTACAATCCATCAACTCAGTATCAACCACTACTCGATCCAGCCTTACCATATTGAAATGGCAACCAATTGACAAATGCTCCCTAAACAAATTCAGTCAATTTAACGATCCAATTAGCTCAGAAATGTCGAGATGATTTTCGCTCCTATCCTTCTTTCCGTTTGCAGATTCGCATTTGGTGTCCGTCACATCAAATTGAATACGCACCCTACGCACTGAATGTCTCCAACTTAGTTCAAACCTATTTTGACACGTACTTGGACTATCAGTACCCACTGGCGAAACAAGGTAACAGCATGTATGATATTACATGATCAAAACCAGTCCAGTCACACCAATGCAAGCCTTGGACAGACTTATTTATAAACACTCTAAAAAAAACTCTGGGTCAAAATGACACTATTCTGGGTCAAAATTACCATTTGTGTCAGTTTTGACCCAGAAAAGAGTCAGGCCCCACATGACCCTTAGGGTCAAGTCCGACCCGGGACTTTTTAGAGTGTAAGATAGATTAGACTTTGAAATTACAAAGATGGACTCATCACTTGTTTCACTATTGATTGTAGATTGTATTCGGAAAGCATACGCTGCTGAAAACTGGAGCCTATTTTCTAAAGGAATTCTTTGATTTTCGATATGATCAATCTATTCCGAGATAATTTATACCAATGAACTGACAATTATTAGATTGACCTTTTGGTTTATTCCCATTGCCGCAGATCACATAGCGATCCAGGACTTTGGTGCAGGTGCCATGGAGAACTGGGGCCTGATCACCTACCAAGATAAATACCTGCTTTACGAATTAGAATCCGTACGCGAAACCTTCTATTCACTGATCATCACTCACGAGCTGGCACATATGGTAATTATCAGTGATTCAAAACTTTGGGGTCAAAGATTACAGATGGCACTTTGATCTGAGTACGGATGGTGCAAACAGGTACCAGAATGATTGTTATCACACGCCTATAGCTCCTGTCAAATCTATCATAAATATGTTCAATTTATTTTCCTTAAGGGACAACCAACTGAGATTTCGTAACAGAGTAGTTGTGATAAATGTAGGAATCAAATGGCCCACTCTGCTGTAACTCAGTGATAATCTAAAACAGTATCAATATTTACAAGACCAGATCATAACTCACAATTTCACGAAGTGTGGAATGACATGTTAAGTGGACATGACATTGAACAAAAAACTCAATATCCTCCTAGGTTCTTAATTCGAAATAACACTCCCAACCAAGGTTTGTCGAAGGTATATTATAGGCCTAATTCAAAAATGAGCATACTGATCACTTGACTTTTGATAGGCACTTGCCTAACCGTACGGAATGATCCCATAGAGACAGTCCGAGTCTCATCTTTATTTCAGAGTTTGAGGCAGTGTTTAGACAAAAAGACCCATTTTCTTTATACATTTGTATTTTGTGGCAAAAGGACAGGAGTTTGAAACACATGTCATGTCAGTGAAATTAGTTTTTGGTTAGAGATTGATGACACTTTCTTTCTGATAAAGTTGTGAAGTGTACAAATATACTTTTCCCCCAGTGGTTTGGCGATCTGGTGACCATGGAATGGTGGAACGACCTGTGGCTTAACGAAGGCTTTGCGACCTACATGGAACACATCGGGATGGACCTTGTGCACCCTGAATTCCGAACCGTCAGTTAAATGATTATTTCCGAATGGTTGTGGCTAACTTATGTTATTTAATTAAGCATCCATACTAGAGTTGTGACTTTGGAAGACCGACAGATGCATGTATGTTTATTTAATGAAAACAGGCACTTATATTATACAAATAAAGAAAGGCGTCATGTGTAAGGCTAGATATCATGTTCGTCGCATATTGAAAAGTTCTGTTCAGATCTTGCAATCATCTTTGAATGGTACGTGTATTATGGTAGTTACAAGAAGTCTGGCCCTTTCCTTTGTAGAAATATTCGTTTTCGCTCTAAGGAGCAAAATCACTTACATCCACTTTCCTTTTTTTTTCAGCCTGAAACCTTCTACACCGACACGATTACCAGGGGCTTAAGTTCAGACAGTCTGGGTACTTTGCACGCTGTGAGGGCACCCGTTTTCGCAAACGATGAACACATAAGTTCCCAGTTCTCAAGAATATCGTATCAAAAGGTATGACAACTAGAAAATGAAAATCGTCATTTAACTAATCTTTATGCGTTCTGGCGTCCACATATTAACTGTACAAACCAACTTGTGAAACTGCAAAATGTGCCTGTGTTTCTATTGTTAACACTGGACCTATTGTTATTGGTGGGCCGAGCCGTGATCAGGCAAACACACACGGAAAAGTAAGGTAGCACTTAAACGACTAACCAGAATCAGACTTGACCGGTAGTTATGCCAAATTACATGCAATAAATTATTTTATTGAATTAAATCCGTACGGTTATAGATTGTACAATAACATCATTTTGGAAATGCGAGGGACATCCTTTTCATTGACAGTGTAACAGATTATTGATAGCAGTATAGTCTCTCATACACACTGACAACTTTTTTGGGTTTTTTTGTCTTTTCTACAGGGAGGTTCCCTTTTGTGGATGCTGGAGCATCTCCTTACACTCGATGTGTTCAACGCGGGAGTTAAAAACTACCTGAAGGAGCGAGCTTACAAAAACGCCAACGCTGAGTATTTATGGCGTCAACTGACTGCTGTACGTCCAACCTGACTCCTGAAAAACTAATTTTATTACTCTCCTTCGGTCGAACTTTGTTCGACAGTGGTATAAATCCATCATATACATATATTTACCTATTTTAGCATCCAACTCAAATGTATTACTTGTGGGTCACTTTATAGTTTCAGATAACGGAAAAGTGTGTACCTTACTCTAAAAAAAAACCCTGCCGGTAAAATAATCAATGTGCAAATATTTGAATGTAAGTTTAAAGCATAAAATTCCATACGTTTTACATCAGGATTATCATTTCATAATATGCTCAGAAATAATGAGTTTATATTGATGGGCAGTAGCGTATCAGGGTTTGTTTTATGGCCGGGGCAGCAAAAAAAAACTTCTATCACCCGGTCTGTATTCGTTCGTATACTAGTTGTGAGCTCACTGTGTTGTTTGGTTTTTAAAGAGGGAAAATTTCCAAATAATCGCCCGGATAATTGGCCTCACCCTCCCTTGACTAACTGCGGACTACACCACTTTTGATTTGTTTCTACAACTTGGGTCAAAAGCATGGTATGCACTGGAACCACACTATACAGGAACTAGACTTTTCAATTTTTAGCGGGGTGCTAATTCGAACCCTCTACCTTAATTTTTGATTTTGGACGACAAAGCGATCAGTCAAAAGTTTGTGTTAATTTCTCATAAAGGAATAAACTGCATCTTATTCAAACCCCTTTTATTCTATCCAAACTATTAGGCAGATAAAGGCAAGGGTGACAATGACATAAAGAAGATCATGGACACATGGACCCTACAGCGAGGATACCCGCTAATCACGCTGACAAGATCGACAGACGGAAAGGAAATAGTGGCAACTCAAAAGATCTTCCTTCAACTAGATGCGACACTTGAAAAGGAAGAATTTGGAAATCTTGGGTAAGAGCAGTGTCATTGGTTTATTTCTCTATAGTTTTAAGTATCCAAGACAACACTTGGAACAACAATAGTAGTCAAGCTCCATTTTCATTTAGTGTAGGCCCTAAACAATCCAGCGGCGTAGCCAGTGTTCTTATCCTAGGGAAGTGGGGAGGAGTGGGGGCAGCTGGATGCTACAGTGGAGGGAAGCCCAATTTCATGCGTGCTTAAAGACACAGGGATTTATTTTCACCGGTCACCCGACCTCCGTAAAATCGAAGGGGGGGGGGCCAATAGCAGACAATAGCTGGCGCTATGCGCTTTCCACGGGACGTGAAAATAAATAGCCAATCGCGAAAACAGGGTTTTCGTACAAAATAAAAAGGACTGGAAGAAAAGGGCACTTTATGTTAAACCCGCTAATCATGGTAACTTATAAGACTGTGCTTTTTGCCAAATTTCCAGTGGGGGGATGGGGGTCATGAACTTCTTAACATTTACTTTTCTAAAAATTCGTCTCCTCGCCGAATCATTTTTTTTGGGGGGGGGGCATGGGCACAGAGTGGCGTCCGCATACTGCATTCTTTGTCAATGGTTTCTTCTGAATGTATCAATAGGTACATGACCAAACGTAATGTTCTTACCTGTAATCTTCCATATCTTGAAAATATTCTCCAAGTTTCGGATGTTGCAGAATTGTAAGGGCAGCTAAACACATCCGCTTGAGCACCACAAAATCACTTGCTTTCGAAAGCTATATCCGCCGCGGACGTTCAGGCTTGCCGTCAAATGGCGGTTATCCTGGGGAATTTCCGTTCGTCCTAGGCTTGACGAATTAGCAGCATAGGCGACGAACTTAAACATTAGTTATTTGGATAGCAGAAATGAATGCACCATTCTTCCTTCAGCATGTTTTTTGCACAGTCAGCTCCTAGCCCTGGTGGACTCCCTTTCCTCCCTACGTTAGCCGTATTGCAATGAAGACTTCGTCCAACCTGGGCTAAGTCAGCTCCAAACATCAAATAGCCACATGGGCGTCGCGAGGGGGGGGCAAGGGGGGGCACTTGCCCCCCCCCCCCCCCCCCCCCCCCCCCCCCCCCCCCCCCCCCCCCCCCCCCCCCCCCCCCCTCCCCTGGAAAAGCAAAAAAAAAAAAAAAAAAAAAGGAAGAAAAAAAAAAGAAAAAAAGAAAAGAAAAAGAGGCGCGAAGACAAAGTGGTGTAAATTTAATGAGTTGGGGGGGGGGCAAAATGTCCCTGCCCCCCTCTAAAACTGAAAAATGGGGAATGTGTTGAGAACTACAAGCATTTTTTGGCAAAAAAAAATTTTGCCCCCCTCTAGAAAAAATCCTGGCGACGCCCATGAATAGCCACTCAATTGTTGAGAAGTAAGACAAAAATACACATTCCGTAGAAATAAATCCACACATTATTGCTCCATTTTCCACTCACATTTTTTTGCCGCATAAGAATTGCCGTATCACTTTCTAAATGGATGTAACTGGTGATTAACTCCAAGGCATTTTCTTGTCTGCATATTTGTGTGAAAAGTGAATGGATGCGTGTCAAGCAAACAATACCACTGCGGCATTAGGAGAAAGGTGATCAGCAACCCAACGCGTGATCATTATTCCAACCAATCAGCGTACATCGCGCCCCAAATCACAGGTGCTAAAGACAAAGGCTTTTGACTCGTTGTGCGAGTGCTAGGGCCGAATTGCGTCTTTTCCAAATGAAGCGTTCCTATAAACTTGCGCAGAACTAGCATCAACCCTTAACATTTAAGAAAAAATAATAGGTTTGACGTGTGATGAAACAGGAGGACTTTAGGCCTACATGCAAACAGTTTTTAAAAATATATACTCTTGCGGTCTATCCAAACTACTCAAAGAGTACACGACTGTCTTGATTTCAAATGCCATCGCTCTTGTCAATGGAAACTAAATGCATACGTTCATTCTATAAAAATTCAAACTTCCATTTTCCTTGGTTGACGAACTAACTTCTGATATCGTTTGGTTTTGTTAGAGTCCAACCTTAATAAAAAAATCTGAAAAGAATTTTTATAGTAAAAAAAATACTGTCATCGCAAAACCATAAATGAAATGGAAAACGTTTAGCGTGACATTTTCTTTTAAATCGATGTCGCATCTGTTTATAATTTTTTTTTAAAGATTGTCTTTTTGGTTCTTTTTCATTTGCATAGGTATAAATGGTGGGTTCCCCTTACCTACATGTACGCGTCAGGACGCCCTAACCAATACGATGATCCATTGAGATTCTGGTTAGACCCGAGTGATGAGAAAAGTTAGTATATCACTAATATGACCATGTATGGTGTAGAAAAATAGAAGTTGTGAGATTTTTATAATGTGGTTATTGTTTGTATACTGTACGCGATTCTGGTGGGTCGGGTTTTTATCTCCTGCCCCAACCCAACGCCCAAATCTAACAACATGTTATTTTGAAAGTTTGAAGTCATTTTTAATGGTACTTGAATGGCAAATTATAAGACAGGAAAAATGCCACACTTTCAATCCTAAATTTCGAGAATGGCCAATATGGCAGTTAGCCTATATCATTGTTGCTGCTAGTCTAGCAAGTGTGTCAATCACTTCTCAAAAGTGGGTGCCGGGGACATACCTCGATCAGAACCAATGCGAGCGCGAAGCCCTAACGGCGTGGGGCAGAACATTTTGGATTCTAGGCGCTCTGTGGTGCGATCTGAGGCACTTTGGGACCACTTTAACCATTTTTTTTTTAAAGCAAAAGATCATTATTTAAACACAATTTTCGAGTTTGGTATCGTTGAAATCAGCTATTCGGAGCTATAGATTCATATGTAGGCTACAATTTTGATTCGGGGACGAACAAAGTGGGGGGACAAACGATATGAACCCCCCCCCCCCAACACACACACACACACACACACACACACACCCATACTTGTTTCACATGACTAGTGTGGACTTTCCATTGCTTTCGTGTAGTTAAGAAAAACCAGTGAAAAAACTCATTTTTCTCAAACTGTGAAAACTCTTTCAACCCATTTTTTTTTCTATGATTCCCTTTAGTGTTTCTCTTCATTCTGCTACAGATAAACCTAACCCAAAAATGCCTCTAAACCTGTTTTCCAGAAATGGGGAAACACTGTGTGGACGTGGGCAAGTCCACACAACGTCGGTGCTACCTACATTATGTGGACGTCTTTTGTTCGGAAGTCCACACTGCGTATGTAAGACAAGCTCACGTAGACCCACACACAAACGATATGATATCTCCCGTCCCCTACCGATCGGCGCCAATTTAGTCTAGATGCTATAAAGGGGCTATATAATAATGGTCATAATGTGGAAAGATTTTTTTCTTTTCTTTCTAGCGACATTCCAGCTACCGTCTAGTACGCCGGCCGACGATTGGTACCTCGCTAATGTCAAGATGACCGGTTACTATCGCGTCAACTACGACGAAATAAACTGGAATCGTCTGATGGCACAAGCCGAGCTTGACACCGAGGTAAAACATCATTTATTTTCATGAAATATTGAGTTTAATCCCTTTCTGGAATTTCCCACGTGTCGTTAACAAATATTCCATTTCTTATGAGCCACTGACACACAATGGATGTGAAGGACCCAAATGTCCCTATCAATTAGTTTTAACGATAAGGTTTTATCAAATAGAGCCCGGCAAAATAATTAAGTTTGACATTTTCCTTAGAAAGAGTTACAAGAGCAAGACGCCCTATTTACGTTTCCAGGACTTTGCATATCAAGAGTGAAGATATATGTCAAACAGTAAGATAAACAGCTCATTAACATCAATATAATTTTGTATTGCTTTATGTATTAAGGCTTTCAGCGAGGAGAATAAATTGGGTCTGCTGTACGATTCCGAGAACCTGGCCAAGGCGGAGGTCATCAGCATGGACATCTACAAGAGTTTCGCCAAAAGTTTCGAGAACAAAACCCTTGAAACCCGGCGAGCTTTGCTGCGTACTTCCTCCTACTTTGACAAGATGCTTGCGGGAAGGAGTCATGACATCAAGAGGCGTTCACTGGGTAATCACTCTCCAGTCAAGGTGCTTGTTAAACGAGATCTCATTTAGAGAACAAGCTCAAAGTTGCACAAAAATGATATGGCGGCATGTGGTGTGGCCTATAGACTTTGCAACCTGATTCGATTAAGGTATCCTTGATGCGGGTCAAATTCAGTAGAAAAAAAATAAATTTAATTTATAAAATATTTGCTGGGAAAAAAAAAATCAGTTTTTGACCATAATTATTTTGATATTGAATTAAATATTTTGTTGGTACCACTTTTATTATAGTCCGTAGCCTATACATTTTGTCATGGATATATCATGAATGTTTCATTTATCATTATAACTTCCTGTTTTCATTGAACCTTTGTGATATTTACGATCTATCGGCTTTTTACCGATCTTTGATTGAACCAGTGACGTAATTAAGGTGGTCATGGAGGAACGTCTCCCTCTCCCCCTCCACTTGAGGCCTCCCCTTGTGCCCCGCCCTCGTTAAGTATTTGAGCGAAGGTTATTGTTGAAAACCCATTGGTTGCCCCCTTAAAAAAAAAATGACACCCCTAGGTCCCCTAAACCTAATTCTCACCATGTGCGGCCCTGAATTTCAGGCTTCGATATAACCATAGAGCAAGGAACAGAAAACTGTGCAATTTCAAAAATTGAGCTGATAAACGTCCACGATTGTTTGACCATGGGCTCACTTGGTTTAGCTCTGTTACTTTCAGGCTTACATGAAACAGTTAGCGGACCCGCTGTACATGGAATCTGGTTGGGATGAACATTTTGTGCCAGATTTGCCAAGGTAATTTTTAATATTTTAATATACCTATTTTACTTAATCACGACTGCGCATTTCCTGAACTGAAGCGCGAAAGAGTCGTTTTTAATCCACTTGATAAGCAGATTTTACAAAACCGGGGAAAATGGCACATTGTTTTAAATCTTCTTATATTGCTTTCAGTGGCAAACATGGCAACAGCCAGTTTGACATCACAGCAACAGCCTGTCGCTATGGTCACGATCATTGTGTCTCCAAGTCTACCACGCTTTTCAAAGAATACATGGGTGATCCTCAACATAACACGTAAGTTCACGTCTAATAAATTCCCTCAATCTACACTCTTGGTAAAACCTGTGTGCAAATTTCATCCATAATTTCACGGAGCCCTCGCTGACGTCAGGCTTTGTTATGTTATTGTGTGACAATGAACGTACAAAAAAATCTTCTCCTTTGTATGCAAGGAGACCTATTTCGATATGAAATTTGAGAACTTTACAGGGTCAACCTTGCTGAAGAAAAGTCCACTGTTATAATACCCGTTTGTCACAGAATTCCTAAGAACTTCAGGAAGATCGTGTACTGTAACGGCATCCGCTTTGGTGGCGACTCGGAATGGAACTTCGCGAATGGCATGCTACAGACGAGTGGCGACACCTGGGAACGATCGCGATGGATAAGCGCCCTCACGTGTTCTGTGGACCACTCTCGTCTCCAAAGGTAAAACATCTGATACTTTCAATGTAACTTCGTATCGAGGAACTGTAATGTAACGGATATTCTGTGCACGTTTTGCTATTATTTTATTCAGAAACTAGTTTTCAGTGTAACTAAAATGACACTATGACCCACACTAACTTGATGACGTCATGATTTGTTCTGTAGATATCTACAGTCGATGTTCGACCCAAGTTTCAGTCGAAATGATGCTGCGCTCATGCTTGTGGGCGTGGCCGAAAATCCCGATGGGTACGAGGTGGCTTGGGACTTTGTACGCAACAACTGGGAGGAGGTTCGCAGGATGTAAGAGCAAAATTACTATTCTTTATTTCATTTTTCATTGGATTTTCAAACTTACTTTATGAACCCTCATCTAAATATTATTTTAGATGGATTTTTTAAAGATGAGACTGAAAATGAAGGTCTCATGACTTTGCCTGTAGAGGAATTGCAAAAAGAACATGAATATGAACATCTCTATCAATTAATTTTAGAATCTTAGGTTATCCAGATTTTGGTTTTGTGTTCTCCAGGTTTAAAAGGAACCACCAAATGTTAAGTGATGTCTTGGAGGAGATAACATCTCACTTCAAAACTAATGAGCAACTTCAGGAGGTAAGAAACAAAAGAACAGAGTCTCTAACACAATCGGATTTTCTTTTAATTCAGTGGCAATTATTAAATACACACTTGAAATGTGGGTGGCATCGCCATGTTTGATACGATTAAATCGGTTGTGGGCCTTAATATGAACTATTTTCTCACAACTTCATACCAAAGAAAAGAAATGACTGTGAACCCCAGACTAATTCCAAACGAATTGTCTTATAATGATGACACTCTGATACTTGGTGAGTGGGATAACCATTGATGTCTGATCTCCACACACATTTTGGACAAGCATCTTAACTGTATGACACATCTTAAAGTCGCCAAGTCTGCGTACTGAACCCGTCATTCCAAGACCTCCCAACTGCCATTCTCTTTCCAGCTGGCGATTTTATAAGTTTCTTCCATTATTTTTTTCGTAGCTGCTGGATTTTGGAAAGGACAGCGATCTCGGCTCTCTGAAGACCGCTTACGAGTCCGCAGTTGTGTCGACTAAGGTCAACATCCGATGGGTGGCCAACAAAGCAGCCGACATGGAGCGGTGGATTGCCTCAAGAGTCCAATGAGATGGGACGGGGATGGTGGTGAAGTATGGAACGCCAAAGCTGCCTTCAGTAGAGACTCGTTTCGTCGGACTCATCAATGATGAATTTGCAAAATGGAATGATGGATTTGTCGAATGGAATGATGACGAATCGAGTGATATGAACTATTGAAGGCAGTTTGGGCGTTCCATTGTGATCATGATGATGAGAATGATGATAATGATGGGGGAATAAAATGGTGATTGTAATCGTGCGCTGCATGAGAAAAAGGAGAGAGTGGTAGTGAATTAGGTGCAAGTATTCAAGTCATCCAATTTCGAGTCAAGTGAACAGTTATTATTCAGTTAAAGTCGGTTAAAGTGTGACAAAGCACTCCTTTGTTTGTCATTGTTCACCCCTTGTGATTTGAGTTGTGATTTGACGTGGCACTGACATTTTGACTTTTAATGGTCTTAACAACAATGAATCTCCGCAAAAAAAAAGATTTTGCTTGCATTTCGTCGAGTAATATTGTATACTACTTGATTCAGAGAAAAAAGTTCATGCCACTGTCTAAAACGTAATTAGGAGTGAAACAAGAAAATATTTCCTCCATTTTTCCACTTAATTATGATGAGTGTTATTGTTTATTGTGGTGAATGAATACGGTTTGCGTTTGATGGTGTATTTTTAATAAATTTCGGAAAAGGATGATATAGATTAGTGAGAGGTCCCCACGATGCAAATCGACCATTAGAATAGGTTGCGTTTAAGTTGTCCATGCAAATAAAAAGACAGTATCTTCTTTTCAGTATTTTTTTTCTGCAAATGTTTATTTTGAAAATTGTTCAACGGGGAGAGATCTTTGCCATTAGCACTCTTTACCAGTTATGAATATATTACTAAATGTAACATTAGGGAGAACTCTTATCGTTATATTTTCGATAATAGGGAGACACCGGTCATTAGGGAGACACATAACTGTCTCCCTAATGGCACAGCCCCATATTTGTTGCTCGTGGTTTAATTAGTAAAATATACCGAAATTCGTGGAAAAAGGACAAGGGAAATTGGGGCAGGGCATACTTAAGTTGGAAAAAAAAAATGTGCACAAGTCTATGGGAGAGCCTCCCTATTCACATTTAAATTGATTTTTTTTTTTGCAGGTCTATGGGAGAGTCTCCCTATTCACCCATTCCCGGTTATTAGATTATATATCTCATCATTACTTTCTTGCGCCAATAGGCCTAAGTGAATAGAACATTTCGAAATCTGTATAAAAAAAATATATTCACTTAACAGAATTAATACGCATAAAATTAGTATGAACAATAAGCAACAGTATTATGCAATATAGTGCATGTAACTGTTAATCGAAAAACCAAACAGTTAGGGATATTGAATGTCCATGTAATGAAGTACTAACATGATTGTTTGTAGATGGATTATACAGTAAACTTATTATTAGATGTTTGTAATGTGTGCCCGTCTTTTTAGTTGGCGTCATTTTAGGAATGTGTTTACCTATTATTAGTTATAATCATCACTTCCATAAAGTATTATAGCTTGTAAGTAATCAACGTGAAAACAAGTTCACGTAACTGGATATTTCGTATTATAGACGCCTTGCAGCTGACGTCACATCCGGCATGTCTTTTTGCTCATCTGTAATACGCGCGAATAGACGCATCGTACTTTCATTGTCAATGGATTTGCATAACAGAACCCGTCTTCCGTGAGGGCGCACTGCGCATGTGGTCTATTAGTTCCACGGAGAAAGTAGACACTGCGAAATTGTATTTTATGTGGTAAATACTGGTTTTAATTTGCACTGTACAAGTTGTTGATAGTGAACCAACAATTAATCAACCAATCAATCATGACACCACTGATATTTTTACAATGAGTTTGTAAACTGTATTTGTTAGACATTACACTGCATCGCTCTGTTCAGCCTCTGCAAACCACACATCGTAAAGCAGTCCTTTTTGAAAATAATCAAAACGTAAACGTAACTCAATCAGGCTAATTAAATCCATATAATTATTGTTACAACTTTTTCAGAGAATTTTGCATTTTTTTCTTCTTGAAACTGTCCAAACGTCGGCAATCGTCTCTTCGGGTTTTAATACCTTCAAGTGAATAACTCAGTGCACTTCGTGACAAGAACGCGTACGTAACTTTACGCTTGAGTTGACATCTTGTGCATTCATAATCACTGCTCTCTTAATGTAAAAGAGTGAAAAAGTCACTCTCCAAAAGAGTGAATCTCTATATAAAACCACTCCAAAAGATTGAATCTCTAATAAAAACCACTCCAAAAGAGTGAAAACCACTCCAAAAAGAGTGAAAACCACTCCAGAAGAGTAAAATTTCCACTCTTTCGAGGAGCCACATAAGGGACAACTCTTCCCTTATGTGGCTCCTCGAAAGAGTGGAAATTTCACTTTTTTGGAGTGGTTTTAACTTCTTTGGAGTGGTTTTTATACGAGATTCGCTTCATTGGAGTGGTGTTATAAGGAATTCACTCTTTTGGAGAGTGACCTTTTCACTCTTATACATTTAGAGAGTGAATTTACAAAACCGAAAAGAATGCCGCTGATTGCAAGGGAGACGTCCATTTTAACTAATTTCAGATCTGAAAGCAAAAATAACAAAAACGAATGAGCACAGTAACTACCGTCTAATTTTCGCGGGAAAGTCCGATATTTTTGTTTCAAAATCAAAGGAATGCCATAAAAATAATTTAATTAAACTTGATAAATCTCATGTGAGAAATTTAAATTACTTTACCATTCCAAGTGAAATGTTTAATCCAAAAGTACTATTTTCGCTGTAATTGAAACAGGTAATGTTACAAGTCCCGTTTCCGACCCTGCTAGTCTATGTAAAATAGTCACTTAGTTTGAACAAAATGTTTACATCATTAAATTAGACTATTGAAAAACTTAAACGCAAAAGAACAATTAAATTAACCAATTATTTCCTTGCTGATGAATACCCACCTACACCATCATTTCAGTATTATTAGTACGAGAAAATATTGTAAATAAACGTCACCTCCATCAAGTTGCACAGTGAAGGACCGAAATTCATCCCTAGCCATAAACTTCACACTTTATCACAAATGGCTTTTTGAATGTATAATTAATGACCACAATGTAGCCGAGGATCCTTTGAGATAAAAAACGAATAAACTGTCTGTCTGACTTGATGAAAACCCCCCATGCACACGATCAAGTCCTGACATCCCAACCCACACGTTGCACCAAGACTTGAGGCCTACATTGGAGAGGCTTAAATAAGCACCATAGCAGCCTAGCAGACACAAGTCTGACATATACTCTACATTTGTTCAGCTTTTGCATTGGAAGAGAAATATGTGTCAGTCTGATATGTGTCACTTTATGAACAATACGATAATCTGTCCTTGTTCAAAAATACTTGATATGAATATAAAATGCAGCACCAGATATTGACTGAAGAGTAATAATAAAAAACGGAAAGTTACAAAAATATCTAACGAACTCTACCCACCCAAAACAAACTTTCCACTCCTATTTTACCATCAAAGTACCTTAAAATACCTCTACCGTAAATTGTAAATGGCATTAACAAAAATAAAAACCCTTATACCACAACAGCCTGTTAGATAAACCCATTTGACAAACACATCCCCCAACAAAATATCCACATCTAAATAAAAGCAAACTGCATTGACAGGTAAAATGTCTAATCTCAACATCAAAATGAAAATTAAGTGCAAAACAAATTGTTCCGAAACAACTCGAAACATTTGGAAGATCAAAACAAATTACCTTTGGTTTATAACCTATTAAAACGCTTTTTGATCTGAAAACTGTTGTGGGGATTTTATAAGCAAAAGCATTTTTTTACTTTACCATCCACTTATTATTTCAGTTAGTAAGATCTAGTGTGTATAGCTGTAGTATATCTCTGTGATCATTATGCAATAACAAATATAATCAAATGGTTTAATATACGCCAATTCACCTTCACATAAATCCAACGAATATCTAATATAGCAAGCATAAATTCCATTTTAGTGGTACATTAGTGGGGAGGGGGATTCGGGCAAGACGATCGTTTTATAACGAAAACTCAAAATTTTGAATCTTTTAACACTTTTCCCCGTTTTTATGGAATTTTATTTGTTAATGGTATTTAAAAATCTTGGTGTTTAATATTAATTATTTTTATGTTTTTGTTTTCTTTTTGAAAGTGAGGTGTCAATATATCTCCCTCTCCAACACCTGATATGCCACGACTCCACTCTTTGCTGTAGTTAAAATAATGAAAACCTCTTACCATGATATAAAAACCACAAAACGACAATACTCTTAAATATGCTTTAAAATTTAAAACCCACTAACTTCTTATACACCAAACACCCACTCAATCTACAAAACGTGATATATCAATATTTTAAAACAACACACTTTAGTTATACTTTTAAAGAAGACGTGTCATACGCCTTTTACAGCTGTCTTCATGGTCGACAATGCATATGTACTCCTGTTGTGAGCTTTTAATCTCCTCTTAAAATAACCTCAATATAAATACCAGAATACTGTGACTAAAATCTGGCGTAAAAATATAATTCAAGTCCATATAATACAGTAAATCGAGTCCAACAAGAGACAGCTAGCCTCTTCTTGTGTTGTCCAAATGTGCATAACTTTCCAGTGAGGAATCCCCACTTTGAAAAAACTTTAAAATACTTTTGAGCTGTGCAAAAGAGCCACTTAATACTGTATGCAACTTGTCAGCCAATTATACATTTGGATACAGAAGAGTGTGTATATTGGCTACCGTGAAACAAACCTCTTTTGTGAGTTTGTGAAGTTCTGAAAAGGGAAAGAATGTGCGCAAAGTCGATGGAGAGTCAAGAAAATGTTCTAGTATTTCCTGACAAAATTGGAAATGTTTCTCAGTCCCAGATACATGTCTTTTCAACAGTTTTGCAATGAATGACCTTCATTGAGATGATAAATGAAGAAAAAAGTGGCGTCAGGTTGCAACATTTTTCTCCCTGAAAGAAATGGGGAAACTCAACGTTTCTGACAGTATACTCAGCCCGTTGTCAGATACTCTTATTGCTCTCTTCATTACGCAAACCTCCAAATCTTATACAAGCTTTTTCACTACTTTTGAGAGCTCCATAAACGGGGCAACCTGCTTGCGCGTACTTATTTCCATGTGCGTATACCAAGAAGCATGCAAACCGTATTTTATTCTGAATGTGCACAAAGCCATGGTGTCTTCGCGTGAACGTCAGGCGTCGTCGGCAATGCGTTCCAATGTCTCTCCCAGTGGTCTCCCCCAACTCTCTCTTTCTTACCGTTGAGGGGGTACTTGAGCACCGAGCCCATGAATTTCTGCTGAGAGCCAAGTAACATGCATGCATGGAGTCCACAGAACAGACTGTTCAAAAACACCAGATTGCACTGTGTCGCCTTCTCATGATAGTCAGTTAAGGATTAATTGTGTATGTGTGCTCACTAATTAGTACGCCATTAGGCGTTCTTTGTCATTTGTGTGGTTGAGGGGGCTCTGCATCAAGTCCACACCAAATGATATTTTTAACGATCTTCAAGGCACAGTGTTGGCAGGCAAGCTGTGTGGTCTAAGATTTAGCCATTCCAATGAATTTAGAAGTAAAGTATTTTGGTTCCATATTTTAAATTTCACAAGATCACAAATAATCTGTGAGAAAAAGTGCTAGCTGACTTGTTAAAACACAGAAAAGTCCAACCCTGTTTAAGAAAATATGAATACTGTTACAAAATGTCCAAGATGTGCATGAAATTACATTTACATGAACTACACTGTTCTCCCAATAAATACTAACCAGCCTCAATAAATTTTACTTCGTTAAAAACATTAATTTGTTAATTCTCCATAAACCTTTCTACCTCTTTTGGGAAGACAATGCACCATGCATCCCTGTCTATTAGAAAAGGGAAGATCTCCCGTTACCAAGTAAAACGTCATTAAGGTCATTGACCTTTGACCTGTGATGTATTGGTTACTTATCTTCCGAAGCAAGAGGAGCATCCTTGCTAATCTTGAAGTTATTGAAGACACTAGGCGAGGACAATACTGGGAAGATCTAATCTGAATCAACAGGCTTCAAAATGTACCTGGTAAGATAAGCAAGAGAGAAAAACTCTGAGAGACAATTCTAGAAGAAAAAAAAACAGGAACAGCAAACCAGGGTAAAAAAAACCCCAGATTTTCTTTCATATCGTATTTTCTTACCTGAATATTTATGTTTCAAATACTTGTGATCTTTCTGGTACTTAATAAGTGGGTAACATTTATTTTGTTTCATGACTTTCCATGATGGTTTTAAATTCCAGGATTTCCCAGGATTTTCACTTTAACACTTTAAGCACTTGGGCTTGTGAGTTCACTCGATGGGAACACAAGGTTTTCCTACCAATTAAAACAGCTGAACGAATCTAAAGATTCATACAGTTTTAAAAAAATGGTTTTCGTACTGCTGTTTTGAATTTAAAGAAAATTTGAAGCACTGAAAGGGATGTGACCTTACCATTCTGTTGTCGCTTTGCTCAGGTCCAACTCCCCAAGCTGAATCTCAATCTGGTTACAGGAATATAACAAATCATTTGTTTAAAAAACAAGGAAAGAGTGTCGAAAAGAAAACCAAGCAAACGCACAAATGTAAGTTCAAGAAAATAAATGTATATTAACGATGTTCATAAATGGGATCAACTATTTAATCATGGCCAAATAAAGGCAGAAAAACAGCATAGGTGTTTTATTTTTGACAATTTAGGCATTCGAATTGGTAAGAAATTTTGTTGATAGGTTTTGACAATGGAGCAACAATCAAGTCATCGAATAGTCCACTGCCTGATAACAGGGTGGGATCGAGAGATGTTGAATTCATTATAAAATTCATTACTGGAGGATCGTTTGCTAAATAAATCTCATCTGATTAATCATAGGGTCCAACAGAAACACAATGCCAAAGTCAAATTTGTTCAATGGCCGTGTAGTTTATTAGCCAAAGACTTTACTCAAGAAAACTAACCTGACCAATCACAGGGTCCGACAGAGAGATGAACCGGGAGCTATCTTTTACCGTGACTTGCAGCGCCCGAGTACTGACCTCTTCTGCTCTCATCATATACTCCAGTCTGTGGGCGATAAAGTTCAAAATGAGGGGCTGAGTTAAATCTCAGGTTTTTTCAAAATCTTTTAACCTTTGCTCTACGAGAACCTAAACTTGGTTGGTCCTGTACCATCCCCACTCCCCCACCTCCCCCCTCCCCCTAATCTTTGCCATTTATTTACGCATAATCCAGCGATCGCCAATACTATAAAGGTGGAATCATGCTCATGCACATGTGCTCGAAAACATTTCCGTCATTTTTTGGGTATATGTAGCCTAAGGTGTGATGAAATAAAAACGACTATTGTGTCTGTCATGAAATGAGTACAAAAGGTACTTTGGAGAGCTGTTTTTCAAGTCCTGTCATGCCTGTTTCGACCCGAACGTGCAATTTGTGTAAAACTCGTCGTTGCGAGCAGCAAACAAAACACAGTAAATCGTGACGTAATAAACAGGACTCCGTGTAAAAGTCGTCGTTGCGGGCAGCAAACAAAACACAGTAAATCGTGACGTAATAAACAGGACTCCCGATGCAGAGTAGCATACACGAGTCCAGTTTATTACATCACGATTTACTGTGTTTTGTTTGCTGCCCGCAACGACGACTTTTACACAAATTGCACGTTCGGGTCGAAACAGGACCTGAAAAATAGCTCTCAAAAGTACCTTTTGTACTCATTTCATGACAGACACAATAGTCGTTTTCATTTCAGCACACCTTAGGCTACATATACCCCAAAAATGACGGAAATGTCTTCGAGCATTCCACAACCTCTTTAACTTTTTTAACCCCTATTGGTTCCATAAATATGGAGTCCAAGTTTTTTCTTGCACGGTTACATAAAATTGTGTAAATTCAGGATACATTCTGTAATGCTTTCTATCTCCAAAACAAATAAAAAAATTAGTTTGAAGTCAATTTTAATGATACTTGTGTGCAATTTTAATGATACTTGTTCGGCAAATTACACAGGTCAGGTGTACCAGGGACACAGAGACTGTCACACTTTTGGACCCCAAATTTGTGTATGTGAGCGTTTTGCCAACTCATTAAATGGCTTCTAATTTTGGCCATCAAGATAACTCTTCATGCCTTACGTTTCGTCATAGACTGGCTCATGTGTGTCCTTCACCTCCTTGGTCTTACGTTTGCTGGCTTTCGACTTATCAGGAAGCAGGTATGTTCTGACGTACGTGTCGGGCGGATCATCAGAACCACGACGCTTGATGTCTCTGCAGGAATAAACACAGTGCAAAAGATCGGATAAACCAGAGAGTATTCACACTACAAACCCTTCTACGTTGGCTTAAGAAATATGTGTGCCTTCCAAAACACGGCAGGGTTTTGGAGCGTTACAAATAAAGGATTCTAATTTGACAGTAGGATAGATATAATATTTCAATGGTTGACTTTATAGTCTTTGGTATTGGACCAAATGATTGGAAATGCAATATTAATACACAGACCTACCAAGGGTCATGCCTCTGGCGTGTGTGACACACCAGAGAGGCAATTCACACACTCATCGCCGGACAATCGTAATCGCATGCCTCACACTAAATTGTTCTAAGACTTAACTTTTCGGGGTTGTTTTCGTGTTTGGTTTAAGCATTTTGTTGACTTCGGTTATGCGCAAAGATCGTATAGCGCCGCGCAGCATGGATCTGTGTGAATGACAGTGGTGGTTCAATCAAATGTGTTTCTGGTTATGGTTGCAAACACAACAAGAGACACCCTCGTCCCCAGGGCCGGCCGAGGTTACATTTTGATGGCCTTTGTCGCTCACACTGTCACACTCCCAGCTTTTGTGTGATCTTGGCAACTCTGAATACACCACATGAATTGTTTTGTTCCCAGGAATTAGGGCAAAAAAACATGGTTTGGCACTTACACTCCTTTGTGTACAACTATTATCAGTCGATTTCTGGGTGTGCTGTACCTAAGAGTCATCTGCAGCTTGCCTAGTGGGGCATCTTCTGTATCCCTGTAAGAAAAGTTTAAGCGGTTGTCAACCCAAAGTAACAGTTTCAGCAAGATCAAAAAGATCCTCAGCCATTCTTGCATAGAGTCCACGGTCATGTCAAGTGATTCTCCATTCCCAAAACATCTGCATCCAACTTCAAGAAACCGCTCATTTTTACCATTAACCAGTTCACGCCGGGATTATTTTGACAAGAACGGAACGAGGCGCAGGATTACTTTTCACTCGACCTCAAGCCAGGCGGGTTGAAGCCATCACCCTCAGGCAGCACACTCATATTTCCAGCCCCGCTTGCTGCGAGCGGGTGGCTGACTGATATTTTCCGGCCTTGCTCGTTGCATGTTTACCCATCAGGCGTTCCGAATACCGCAAAACCTTTGCGTGTATACACGTCATCTGACACGAACAGGTTAAATTGTGTAAGACAATAGGTTTCTTTCTTCAAACGGTGTGTGTCATGAAGTTGAAATCAACAGGGCTTGCTCAGTGACGACCATCTCTGTAGGAGTACTGCAACTGCGTATTTTACGCGATCAAGCCCGCATTACGCATTGTTAAAACTGTTCCAAACACGCGCGCTTGTTGCTCAAAATGTGTACGAAATACGACGCAACCGATGCGCGTTATGCAAGTTGATGCTCAAAATGCCGATGCACCTGGATGGTCTGTAGGAAATGACGTCATTTGAACGAGACCTACTGATGAGCAAAATTGCCAAAAGCTGGACATGAACATGGCACACTCACTTTGAGTGCTGCACCAGTCTTTTCCTCAGCTCCGTATCGCTGACCGGCTGCGCCTGTTCAGGGTTGGACGACACCGACATGGTGTCCGGCTGACTGGGTTTGGTCAGCGAGTCACCCTGGGGTCCTGCTGGGATGGGTTGGTCCACCGAGCTCTCCCTGAAGACGGCAGCGGTCTCTCGTGTGGGTTTCAGCTCTGGGCTGTCAGTGTTTGCATCATCAACGTCCACACTCGATTCAGACATCTGTAACAGAGGTTGAATTAAGAAAACTTAACAACAACAAATATTACAAAAACAATGGACTGTTTTTATTTCATTTTTTTTTTCTCATATTTTCACAGTGAGCTGGATGTGACTTTCCTAAAAGGAAGATTCAGCATACATGTAAAAGTACAAGGCCCTCTAATGCCATTCAGTTCAATCCGATCAGTAAGCAGTTTGCAAACAACTTTGTATTTCTCAAGCAAAATTAAGAAAAAAGTACAAATGGAAACTAAGTAGTTTTATTGAAGTTTCAATTTTACAAAGAATCTTAGAGGGCATTAAACCCTAAGACGATAGGGGTTGATGCCTAATACCGGATTATAATGGTCATAGAAACTAATCTATCAGGTCGAGTTTGGTCATTAAGCTTAACCACTGAAAGAATTCCAAGTTTGGTTCTTTTGAATATCGTTACTATTTTTTTTAAATCTATATATTCAGTTTCCTTTACTTACCAAAACAGCTCTTGGATTGGTTACCTTGAGGGTCTTTTTACGCTCCAATCCCTAAAAAGACAAATACAAGCCCCCAAAAATGTATGCATCAGTGCCGTTTATTGCTATTGCCCATCTTTGCTAAGCTCATCCTCTTAATAGGACTGGAAGCACAATTGCACAAAAGACACAAATCTACCACGAAAAATATATTTGAAAGCAGACTGTGGATTTGATACCAATTTCCAAAAGTAAAATTCCACAAGGACATCCCATATCTCATAATTATGGTGTTTTTGCAATTGTGTCAGAGAATTTGGACTCAATTATTAGTTTTCATAAGTCAAAACATAAACCCTGAACACTAGTAAGTTGACTTAGTCGGTCTCTGAAAATTGAAACAATTCACCTGAACTAAGGGGTGGGTCATTCCGTAATTTTTTGGGTCCAAGTGTGACATTTTAATGTCTCTGTTACACCTGACCTGTGTCATTCATCATACAAGTATCATTAAAATTGACTGTAAACTATTTTTGGTTTGGCAGATACTTTGCTTTACATAATCATTCCTGCAGACAGAAGGCATTCCAAAGAGAGTGTCCTGAATTTACAAACAAAAATCTTATATCAGATGTAACAGGCACACACACACACACAATTGGACCCCACATTTATGGCTTGACCAAGGTCTGAGATCTAGACTCTGGATCTGATACACCGTGCCCTCTGGAGACGTGCACACAATAGGGAACAAAAGATTGTATGCGTCTCCACAGGGCAATTTCTATAGATGAATACGTCTCCACAAGGTTTTCACGAAATAGATATATGGATTTTACTCAAAAACTAGGAATTTCCAAGGTGGGTTGATCCGTCGCAAATGGAAGAGTTTTAGAAAAGGGATATTAAGTCCGAATTTCAGCCAAGGAAATTATTTCTGGTTAAAATAAGAGCATTTTGAAACTTCACTTTCAAACTCGAAAACTTTACTACACGAGAACAAAGAAATGTCTCCACAGTGATGTGATACAAATTTTAGTATGTGAGCGGGGTCAGGTATGTGTACCCCTCAAGCTTACCCTGAGACACATCTTGAGAGTGACCAAGCTATGAGGCCCCGAGCCATCCAGCTTAAACGGCTGCTCCAAGGCCAGATTGGGAGCCAGGAGCAGATTCTTAATGGGTAGCATCAGGAGGCCAATGCAGCGATCCTTCCTGCTGTCCATCACCTGAGGGGGGGGGGAAAAAGGGGGGAAAGGGGGGGGGAAGGTAATCAGGTTTTTATTACTAATAAATAATTACTTTTATTCCTACAAATGTACCATTAGGGAGACACGTTATCGTAGTTTCTTCAATAATAGGGAGACACCAGCTTTTAGGGAGACACACAACTGTCTCCCTAATGGTGCAGCCCCCCTTAAGAGGCAAAATTTTATTGTCGCAATTAGGTTATATTTGTTGCTCGTGGTCTTATTAGTAAAAATACCGAAATTCGTGGAAAAGGGAAAAGGGAATATTGGGTTAGGGCACATTTAAGTTGGAAAAATTTTGTGCACAAGACTATGGGAAAGTCTCCCTACTGACCCATTCCCGGTAATTATTATTATTACTATTGTAAATGAAACCATGTGGGAGACACTTCAGTGTCAAAGTTATACCTTTGGGAGACGTGGAATTAGGGAGACATTTCAATATTTTCCTAATACCTGAGACCCTATTTAGAGGCAAAATTTTACGGTCGGAAATAGGCTAGATCTATTGCTCATGGTCCAATTAGTAAAATGGCCAAAATGTTTGGGGTAGGAAAAGGTAAAATTGGGGTTAGGGTTCAGGAAAGTCGGAAACAATTTTGTGCACAAGTCTATGGGAATGTCTCCCTAATGGTATATTTTTCGGTTATATTATTATTCTTAGTATTATTTCATTTCTGGTATGAAACCAAGCATTCCTCAAAGAGCGTCGATGCTACTCTCGTTCGCAAGCCTGAACAATTTAAAAGGGTAAATTCTTGGATAAGATTTACCTCTACTTTCAGGTTCTGCAGACTCGGGCTCTGGACCAGGAAATTAAAGACCTCCTCCCACACAGGAGAAACTGTCTCACTCTGAACCTAAGACAGATTGAAGAAACAACGCCAGATGTTTCATTACAAAGGAAAAATAAACTAATTTATTTTTGATGTCCAACTGTATTCTCATGAATAACAAATCAATCACAAGTGGGTTCATAAGTAACGGGGGTGGACAGTGGACAAAGTAATGCCTTTATTGCAGTTGATTTGAGTAGCTTATGACTGAAGTTGTTAGCTTAAGAGTAGTTGGTGTATAATTTTCATTGTTCGCAGCATGTGCATTGAGCCCTAGTAATTCATATTCCGGGGTATGGGTCCGAGTACGAGTACTCGATTTCTTGCACACTCGTTTTCTCGCACACGTGTTTTTCCTGGCACAATTGATTTCTTCCAAAACTAATCAAAAAAAGTAAAATAACCAAAAAAAACAAAAAAAATTTCATCAACTCGGCTCAACAAGCTTTGCTTCTTTATGGGCCCCTCCGCAGTAGCATTCATACTTATTATTTGCTTATCTTTGGCTTTATTCAAAATGTTTTTCTGCTATTCTTATATAAGATTCTCATTTATAAGATGGAATTTTGCGACGGGGGTGATATAATTCAAATTAAGTTTTGCCCTTCACCGACGTTTAAACACTGTATACTCACTGAGGTAACACACTGAGTATACAGTGTTTAAACGTCGGTGAACGGCAAAACCTAATTTGAAGATTCTCATTGTCATTGATAGTTTGGTACTGTGGAAATAAACTGAACTGAACTTGATGTGAGGCTGGACGACTTGTGATTGACTTGTGATGACTTGAAATAATTCTGTAATTCATTCAACTCAACTGTGTTATTCAACTGTGATTGCGTACAATGAATGGCATAAGAAGAGAGAGGCAAATCCCTTGAATGAGAAGAAAATGTTTAATAAAGTGAACTGTGACTAACTTGGCTGGTTTTACTGTCTCGTCCAACGGTCATCGTGACGTAAGGATGCGGCAAAGATGAGGAACGACTGGAGATCTGAGCGAAAGAAGATGAGAGATACAACAAAGCTAGTTAGAATCTGTGAACTTGTCATTTGAGCTCCCCCCCCCAAAAAAAATCAATTTTGTTACCTCACTTAGATGAACATAACCAAAATGGTCCACCATATAAGAATCCAGTGTTGAACAGTAGGCATATCCCAACAGTTTTCCTACATACTAATCTTTGCACTGACTACATAAAAGAGAAGAATAATTTTGGAAAGGCAAATGCAAACATAAGGTTGGCTAGCATTGTATGTTAGCAATGAGCAAATTCTTTTTTTAGATTTTTGTTATGTCTTTATTTTTCAGTGAGTGAAAACATTTGACAGATCCAACTGACTTCCATTGTGTAAGATTGGCTCGAGAGCCACCAACTCAAAGATGATTCTGGCAACCTATAAGACTCATTATTTTTTGAGTTGGGCCACATCTAGGATTCTTACCGGAAGGTCCTTAGCCGAGTCCAGCTTGACGATCAAGATGGCTGCAGACATGGACGTGTCATCTTCATCACTGTCCTCATCATCATCCTCCTCCTTGTTCCTCGCATTCATGTCCATGCGCTGTCCTCACAAAAATACAATACAAGATGCCGTTACTATGGCAACGAGAACGAGTTCCCAAGGTGATGGGGTTTTTTTTTTTTTTTTTTTTTTGCTTTTTGGTTTACTTTTTGTAAAGCGCTTAGAAACACTGCGTATGAAGCGCTATATAAATGTTAATTATTATTATTATTAACTTCTCTGAAACTCAAGTCAAGAAATGTCGAAATCTACTTTCCATGGGATTCTAACTTGATATAAACTTCAATGCCTCATTGATGTTCAAAAATAGGACACACACATCTGAACTTTGACTTGCACTATGAATACATGAGTACATGCTCATCAGAGACACTCCGAAACAAGGAATCAAATTTTAGTTGGAAAGTAGAGACAAATCTGTCAATAAAATCTAACCTCAAATACATCGTCTGCAATTACTGACTAAATGTCATGCCAGGGACACTATGTCACTGCATCAATAGTATTTTATCACCCTTTCAATATATGTCACCAAACAAAATTCTATGTAACTTTGCTGTCCAGTCTTTTGACAAAATAGATTTTTTTTTTTTTTGTACTTGCGATTTTTCACAAGTGGATCCTTAAAATAGAAACAAGAGGAGAAGTTCACTGTTCCCATCCAATGCATTCAGAAGGTGTCAATGAATACCAGTGAATTTGATGATGGAGAGGGTGCGGTGTGCATAGATCTTGAAGTGTGCCTCAGGAGCAGAACTTCATTCCATGTGGTACCTTAGATGTCACTGCGTCCAAATTATCTGATTGCAGCCAACAGGAATATACACGTGGATTCAGCCGGACCCATAGGCGCATGTGTTATTTCCAGCCGTAGATAAATAATTTGGAAGCAGTTTGACCCCAACCTCGTCCCCAGGGTGTCGAGCAGTACGCGCCCACCACTACCTGCTCTCTCACCCTTGTATTGGATCATTTGCATGTGCAAGATTTTTGAACACACATGCAAATGACGAATAGTCTGGTGCCTGCCTGTGCGTTACATTTGCGTTTGTTTTTGTACGCGGTGTCTGGGGTAAAAAAAGAATCAATTCGTCGCAGCGCGAGCATGGCGTGAGTTACGAAAACACTATTTTATTTTAATTAAACTGTTACGATCTTAACGAGACAACATGCAGTATCACATTTCATATTTAATACTAACAAATTGGAAAGGAAATTCATATTTTTGAGAAGGCGTAAACGAATGATTGCGAAAACACGTACTGCTCGTTGTTAATAACAACACCATGTACACGATATAAATCCATTTCTAGCCAATTGCGGTATTAAGTCAGGATACAGGAAGAAAGTTTCCTATCCAGGGCTTACTATTGGAAACGAGGTTGGAAATAAAGTAAGCACTGGGGACGAGGTTGGTTTGACCCCATCAAAATCTGACGCCAACCTAGGGTTGTGATTCTGAACAAGCCATACACAAAGTGCACTTGTAGGGGTGTGCATTTACAGGTAGTAATGGAACCAGGTACCCGATTGAAAAAAAACACGGGTACCCAGATACCCGTTGAAGAAACCCAAACCCAAAATTCAAACCTTGGAAGGTTTTGTTCAGATTGTTCATAAAAATCAAGGTGCGCGCGATAATACTATGCGTTAATACTACCACATCGGCGCATCAATGCAGCAACTCATGTGTGTATGGTGAGCTTTATAGCTTTATGGTGGAAAGTGCAGCTTTCGCGAGCATCATTGACTTTCAATGTGGCCTGGTTTTCACTTACAAATTTGTTAAATTGATCAAAAATTTATTAACATACGGGGGGATGAACCTGTGTTCACATGAACGGAGTGCCTATCACTCTTTTCGAAGCGATTGGGCCAGACTTGAGTCTATGAAATGCTGTGGGGGGATCGCCACACCTCCTCCACAGCGAGTCTGTTACCTTCCCAGCATTGAATATTAAATGTGGGTACCCATTTAACACCTGGGTTTAGAGGAGTAATTGAGGTAAAGCGTCTTACTCAAGGGCACAACACGCGTGGCCACGGCGGGCAAGAGAGTGGGACAGGCTTACAAATAGGAATGAAAACAACAAATGCCTTCAAAAAGGAACGTGCATGTCCGGCCAAACCCCATGGAAACTATTTAAATAAGATTGTGTCATCTGGTGGTTGCCATGGTAACATGCATCCCTACCTCCTCCATTTCCTCATCATGTTCCTCTTGGAGTTCCTCCTCAAGCTATGCGCATCAGGCAACGGCAGCGGAATACGCCAACGGGAATTTATCAATCATTTATTAAAGACTTTAAGCACATTACAGGCTGCCAATTATGGCATTTGAACTCCAAAAATCCAATGACATTCCAAGTGTTAAGAAAGAGATGTTGAGGGTTTTTTCAAACTAAGTTGAAAATCCTCAAAAACTGCTATGAACAATCGAACCTGCAATGCAAAAGTAGTGAACCAGGTTGATGTACTTTTTTCCCTTCTCTGAAAGATTCTGCTAATATTTGCAGTAGATTCTGTTGATGTTTGCAGTAGATCAGTCACCATTTTTTGTTCATATCATTCATAGTGAATTCAATGGGATAAATCTTTCAGTGAATTGCCTGTGTTTACCTCATAGATGGCCTTGGTGGAATCCGTCAGTGTCAACCAGGTCAGTTCCAGGTGAAGATCCCCCTGCTTGATTTCTTGCAAGGGAAGCCACTAAAAAATCAAACACCACAAAACAAATATTCCATAGAAATAAGAAAGGTCAATAGCTCACAACTGTGTAGTTACAAGATAGAACTTGTGACTACAAAGTTTGGGCCACACACCTTAGCAGTTTTCTCCTGCACTGCAAGGCTAATTATGTCCCATGGCAAGGGTATCCTTTAGTAGATAACAAATCTCAACATCAGAAACAAGAAATATGAGCCACAAACGGACAAAGTATAAAATGGTATATTTTGGCACACACTGCAAAAATAATGGAGAATTTAATCCCTTGTCATGTAGAAAAAAATTCTAGCATGTAGCAATCTGCTTGATTTTTCAAGTCTTCAATTTTTTTTTCTTTGTTTTTTGTTACAATACTCACAGCGTCCAGATGTCCCGTATCAGCCACATGTCGCACATTCAGGCTCAATCTGCAAGACGATAAAAACTTCCTGATTCAGAAGTCGTGATTTCACGCTTTGATGAATTAAAAGAAAATATAGTCTCTATATACCTAGTAAAACCAAAACATGCACCACTCAATATCAAAACACACACACAAAATGAAATGAAACATTAATATTATTTACGTTCCAAGGGCGTCATCTTTTCCTGGTCCTTCGTCTTTGTCCCAGACGTCAATGTCCAGCGTCTGGCCATGGCTTTGGTACACAATGGCCTAAAAATGAAGACAAATTGGGTCACAACTCGTTCACATTTTGTTGCCAATTAAAAGTTGGTATACATTGATATGAGCTGCCCACTAATGATTATTGGGGTGGCTTTAATTTTGGACTGAGAAACGTTTCCAATTTAGTTATAAAATGCATCAAAATTGTTTTGATACCCCACCAAATTAGCATCAGGATACTGCCTTTATTCGGTTTCGAAAAAAATCAAACAAAAAAAAGTAAAGAAAAGGTATGTAATAGGAAAGAAATGTGAAGATTTAAAGTAGGGCCGAAAGGTACAGAAAATAGTTGTCATTATATTACTATCTTCCCCACACGGCAAAATATATAGTACTACAGGGCAGGGTGTTTCGGAATCCATGTAACAAATGACCTAAATTTCAACGTCCAAAACCCGGCATACCTCAAAGTATTTATCCCAGACTGGCGTCAATGTCCTTTTCATGGCCTTGGTCTTGAAAGTCTTGGATCCAACTGCAAAGAATACAAATCAAGAAATAAGTCAACCTTAATTCTCCATTACTGGAACGACTTTTTTCCAAATGCTCCATGATAGCATCATGACTTTGAGTTTGAGCTTGATCCCTGGCCACATGGCCTATAACCTTTTTTGTTTTCTGACAAGCGCCCACGAAAAAAAGACATTGATACAATGGAAGACCACCAGCCTATAGGGCTGGATAGCTCAGTAGGTTGGGCACAGGTACGTGGTTCCACGTGACCACAAATTCGTAGCCTTGTGGAGACTCACACACAATAGGGAACAAAACATTGTAAAGGTCTCCACAAGGCAATGTCTATAGATGAATAGGTCTCCACAAGATTTTCACGAAATAGATATATGGGTTTTACTCAAAAACTAGGAATTTCCAAGGTGGGATTGATCAGTCGCAAATGGAAGAGTTTTAGAAAAGGGATATTAATTCCAAATTTCAGCCAAGGAAACTAATTCTGGTTAAAATAAGAGCATTTTGAAACTTCACTTTCAAAATTGAACACTTTACTACACGAGAACAAAGAAATGTCTCCACAAGGATACAAATTTTGGAATGTGTGTGGCAGGTCAATTTCCTCAAGTGGTGTCTTCGTTCAAGTAAATACAAAATTTGTTCTCAACAGAATTGTATGTGTGATTGCTGATGTGTGACGTTAGTGCAACAAATGAAGACACAGTCACAATTGTTTCCATTGACTCACCTCTGACAATGCAGTATGGGTCTGATTTGCCCTTGGACAGCACTGCGAAATCTTTGGCCACAAGATTCTTCGCCTCAATTACGTGGATGCGCAGCACTCCCTGCAAAAGCAATGGATTTGTCCACAGTCAATCAATTAATTATTTACTTTACTCACTGAAATAACAAGGAAAATGACTATGTTAACAATTCATAAATACTCGAGACAGTTTACCCATTCCTATTGGTCGAGAGCCCGTCACGGTGGTTGGTTTTAAACCACCTGTAAAACACCGCAGCGTTCTGCACCACATCTCGCAGAAAATGCCGCATGCACGCCAATCTCCATATAAGGAGATTTTTACGAGAAGCACATACCATAGACATGGCCAGAGGGGTGTTTCACAAAAACATGAAGTAAAAATAATTGTTGAACAAAATCATCGGAATTTTGTCAATATTTTACTTATTTTGACTTTTTGACCAAAAGGTATTTATGAACGGGAATAAATATGTGCTTGGCCAGTTTTAAACATGTATGTTTAAAACCGGCTAGGGGCCTGGACATGGATAATATCAGCGTCCAGGCCCCTATCCTGTTTTAAACGTACTTGTTTAAAACCGGCCAAACATATATTTATTCCCTTATATATAGTCAGTGTTGTAGTCGGGTACATTGCAAGTAAGTTAATCATCAGTCATCCTGTTACTCACAAATGAACTGTTCCCACCATTTTGAAATCTCAAATCAATATGGCCAAATTTCTTGGTTCTCGCAATTAGCGGGGAGTACTGTAGCAGAGAAGTCCGCACTTAAGGTTAGCATATTTCACAGGTTAGCGAGGAAGTTTTCACTTACTCGCATGCGTACATCCCTTAACTAAGGATTCTGTGGTTACGGGGTTAGCGCAGGGAATTTTCGTGCTTGTGATGTAAGCACAGAATGGTAATCATAAGCGCGGAATTCTGTGGTAAGCTGAGTGAGCCATGAAATTGGGCTCTGATGATGAATCCCTCTTTATCTCAACAATCTAATGATCCTCCTGGGATCCCCTCCCACCTGGGGCATCGGGTACTTGAGACTGCTGATGTCCACATCATCGATGAGCTTAATGGGCAATCTGTTGGGCAAGACAAGGAAGTTGGCCAGCTGGTCCTCCAAGATAGTCCTCAAGATACCGCTGGAATGAGACGGAAAGTTGTGATGGTTTAGATAACAATCGTTGAAAAAATTGTCGGCCCCAAATCCAAGGAGCTGCTAAGCATAGAAAATAATGTGCTTAGTAAAAACAGGTTACCAGCCAAAATCTCATACCATGTGTATTGCTCTTGACTTGTACGCTGCCATTTTTTGCTAAGCACGAAAATATTTCAAGCACTATCTGCTCAGCTGAAAATAAAATTGTGCCCAGCTGGATGGTCAGTCAGGTGCCCTGTTAGACTCACTGATCTCTGCACTAACTGGCCTGAATGCCACACGCTGACTGGCCTATTTTCTTTGACGCAACTGAAGCAGCAATTCCACCATCTTTCTTCCCCCTCAAGCGCAAGCTCTTGATCATTGCAACATGCTCACAGTTTCTAAAAAAGCACACAATTCATGACACTTGAGAATCCGTGGGCACAAGCATGTTCCAATAGTCAACAGCACACTCCAACTTGGAAGAAACCATAATGAACGCATGCGTCATGGGGGAACAAAGATGGCGAACAATTGCTTCAGTACGCAGGTATTATCAACCAGTCCAGTCACTATAAAGGTCAATGGTGATGTCACAGGTCAAAGGTCCTGTCAACTCTGGTCAACCCACTTCAAATTTCTCCTGGTTCACCCTGTGAATTCAGTTTGCCATTCCTTTACTTTTCATCACAACACCCAGTGATTTTGCTGCCCTCTTTTTATTTTCTGCATCATAGTTAGTGAAATTAAAGCATTCTCAACCTCGAAAAATATATTGTCAATTGTAATGCTTGTATAACGCTTTCATCGTATCAACAATCTCAAAGCGCTTTACAATTATTCCTCAGATTAAAAAGAACATACCCGTTATTGTCCACCCAACAGTTCTACGAATCTTTCTCTAAAAAAAAAAGAATTTCAGGATCCTGAAAGAATGAGGAATGACAATGAATAGTGTTTATTTTACCTCAATCCTGGGATGTCAAGGACATCTGCCAAATTGGTCAGATTGAAGTCAATAGCCTGGGGAAAAAAATGAAAATAGAAAATTAAGTGAAGACAACAGCAGGAAGCCGAGACCCCAAAACAGGACCTAAATGGGCCCTTTGTACTTAAGAGAGGTATAAAGATAATTCGTTTTTTATTTATACTTTTTATAATTTGAGGTAGTTTGTTTACTTTATTTTAATACAACTGCACCTGTTCCTATGGTGTAAATTGAGACTTTTTCCCCAATTAACCTTAACTCCCCAGCCTAATTTACTAGGAACCATACCCATTCTGGCAAATTCCAACACCCACATGGGAAATTGTACACAGACACTGTTGGACTTAGTTTCTGGAGGTATGCCAACCCCAGTCATGCCAGTGTAAAAGACTGGACCTATCCCAACAGATTTGAACAAAACCTGCTGTTGAACTTTGATGCGTTGAGTTTGGTTAAGGTTAATGAAAACAAAAATTGATAATGAACCTTTACTGCCTTTTGCAGTTGACTGGGCAGGATTGCAAGGCAATTGTTTTGCTTTACAGAACCAGAGAAAATTCAATTGGAATCAAGCTGATTCAGCATCTGTTTTTCGATTTAGACTGGATTGCATCCAGGGTTCAATAAATGTATAAATTTCAAAAGCCGTTTCATTTTTAATATCAAATTGCAGAAAATTAATACAGCAGGTGTTCTCTTAATTAGTATCAAACCACAGCTTTGCAAGCAAATGAAATAACCAGTCATGCATGGATACGATGAAAAGGTGAAGTTGGAATGCAGTTCTCAAAATATCACTTTTCAAAGTTTTCAACAATTTTTATGTTGCTCAGAACATTATGTTTATCAGACCGGGACGGAAAATTGGAGACGTGATGCACACATGTGCAGGTACTTATTTTTTCCTAGATGCATGTATTGGAAAGACATTGCTTAGATTCACAGATTCTGTTACAACATATTAGCCCTGATTGCAACTGAAAAGATTGAATCTTTTATTGAAAACATGGACTTCCAAAATGAGCATCAAAATTTCGACAACCTAAAGATAAACTGTCTCATGTGATGAATTCTTAAACCTTCCCCAAACACATGTTTAGCCTATTTGTTCTTGTTACGCTGAAAAGGGCCTTGCCTAATACACCACTGCCCCAGCACGCTCGGATATATTGGGTTTATCACGGAATAAATACGTGTTAACATACAAAATGACATGATGCGTTTTGTTGCAATGCATTTAGATAAACAATGGCAGTCATTAACAATGATACTTCTTACAATGTTGCTTTGCTTTGTTTGGTTTTAAGCTTTGAGTTAGTTTTTCGGAGAGAAGGGGAGGGGCAAACGGGATGTGGGAGGGGGTCATTACCGGTTTGTTGAGGAAATAGATGGACATTCCTCCAACCAGCGGGACCTTGTCAACCAATGGTTTCATCTCGACCCGCAGAGTGCCATGAAGCTGAAAATACAAGACAATTTGGAAATTTATAAACTATAAACTGTAAGACTCAACTTGTTTCAGTTCAGTCTGGTAAAGGCAAGGCACGGCAGTACGGTATATTTATGGACAAAATTCATCAAAATCAACTTTAAAAAAAAAAATTAAAATGTTATGGGTAAATCAGTCACACTGACTGACTGTGTACCGGTAGTTTACAATGTCACCAACTCATAGCATGCAATCTGTACCAGCCACTTCATAGACATTTATAAATATTCATAAGCTTACATACAATGAAAGTTCTAGATTTTAAATATCATAATTCACAACATGAAATCAGAATCATCAAGTATTTTCTCAACCTTAACAAGAACAATCATAAGCTAATGTATACAATCAGTGCCACCTTTGTGCTCAACCATACCATGAATATTCATAGACTAAGGTGCAACAGGTACAAGTTCTTGTCTCTACATCACCATGAATATACATAAACTAACTGGCATGCATATTCATAAACTAACTAACTTATCCAGGGGCCCAAGGGAGAACAGTTCTTAGATATCTGATGGGGCTACCCTGGTAAAATAAAACGATAAATAAATAAATCAACACTGGTTATTTTGCTCCATCCACCAACCATAAATATTCATGAACTTGCGTGCGATCGGTAACACTCCTTTGCTTGACCTACGTGTATGAATATTTATGAACTAAGGTACAATCAGTACCAGCTCTTTGCTTCTAATCATGGATATTTTGCTTGATCTTTATCTGAATATTTATAAGTTTACCTGGAGGCTCTCAATGCCAGCCTTGATTCTCTTGAGGGCTTTGACACTAATCTCGATATCACAGTTACCAGCATAGCTGCAAAACGAAACACAAGGTACACATCGTTAAAACAGTCATGCACAATAAATTTTTACTGTTGAAGGCATCAATGATGCAGACATTATAATGACATGCATTCTTGAGAAAAAAAATAGCTGCTGTCTGTGTGTGCAAAACAGTTAAAATAATTCAATTTTCAATAATTTTGCAAGTATAATTTTGAAATGATTTTCATCATTCAACTGAACTACTAATTTTACTGGTTATCTATGAGATTGCCTGCAGTGGATTCTCAATAAAATACAATATTTCTATAACAGTTTGAAATTTCGTGTTGCTATTTGGTGTTCCTATTGCAAAATACTGTGGGTGTTTCTTTTTTGTAACAGCCAATTATGTACATACATTTAACTTATACCCATATGCAAACCCCCCCCCCCCCCTCAGCTTGAAAAAAAACCCACATAATTACATCTGGATTAAAAAAAAAAAACTTTCTTTAACAAAAATTAAAGGGTCTATGCAATGATTTTTTTCTTAAGAACATATTCTGTGTACCTTTCTCCTCCTCTTAAATGTATGAAAACTATTTGACATCCCTTTTTGGTTAATCTTATTGAAAAGTGCACTCGTTAAAAAAAATTCAAAATTTAAATGCTTTTCCAGATAAACTGAGGGTGTTGTTGCTGTGATGTCATTTCAGGAGGACACTCTTCAGTTTCGAGGTTTTGTGTTCAAATTGTGAACCCGAAAATTTGCTCAGTGAAAATATTTGTGAGAAAAGTTTACTCAATGGCTGTACTAATATGTACTGACACCACAACAAATCACCAAAGAAAGGAAATTTACGACAGCAAAATATTCAAAATTCTGGCAACTTTTGGTGTTGAAATAGCTGTAACACTGAGGTTTCTGCCTGAAGTGACATCACACTTTTGCTCATGCATACATATGGACATTTCCATCAGCATAAAAACCAAAAAGGCACCAAAATACCCTTGAAAATTTTTACTTAACTGGTCTGATAGTTTCTATCAATGCTGTTGGAAATTTCCAGGATTTCATCATATGAAAAAAAGGCTCTCTTTGTAAACAACGGTTACAAAACACAGAACTACCAGCAAAACGAGAATCAAATTCCCTGGGCCCGGCTTCAGTGAACTACTAAGGCAGTCAAGCGCTGCTCTTAAAAAATTATCTGCTAAGCAAAAATCATGATCAATTCTATGACTTGTAACACCAGTTTTATTAAGCACATATTTTTTTTGTGTGCTAAGCATAACACTGGCCCATGAAAACATCAGACATAAAATAATCAGACATAAAAATAGTACCGGTTCCCTTTACAGGGCAATTTGCATACAATATTTATATGGATCTTGCTGCATTTCAGGAAATATAAGGGTACCTAATCTTTGTATCCAGGGTTTCATTAAAGTTCCAAATCAGTAATTTTTTAAGATCATTGTTTGAAAGCTTTATGTCTAGACATTTGCACAGAACCTGGACGCTTATTACTGTGATATTTTCATTGGATCTGGTTGAGGACAAAATATATTTTCTATGTTGACAGCACACACTGTCTCGTTTTTACTGAATCTACATATTCTATGGGACAAAATGTTTGTTAAAAAAACCTTAGGATGGAAATTATTGGACCATTGCTGGGGGGGGGGGGTTCAAATACAATGGTATTTTAACCGCATCAGCATCTTGGTTTAAACGCATCACTTGCATTTATTCCAAATGTAACCTACCGACTTTATTATCCAAAAGCTTACTTGGATTAAGGATCGTACATAACCAACCCATGAAATTATTCTGTCTGGCTTGTTGTCATTTAGGAGAAATCAAGAAATGTAGGTAATTTCCAATGATCAGTCAACTGACAGATTTTTGGAAATAAAGAGTACTACAGACACAATTGTGTTTTGTGATGTGATCAAAAGGCTGTGCACAATTTTTCACTTTTTCCTCAAAAAGTGTAATATCCACCGAGCTGCAACTTCAAGCTGCAAGTTCAACAGGTTAGGTTTGGAATACTCTTCTTTGGATTTTGGGGTGGTGTTATTTTTGGAAATTAGAAAAAAAATGCATGAAAAGCAAATGATTCTGTATGAATTTAAATATCCCAATAAAACAAACTATATGGTGCATATTAATATTGTCCTTGGGGGGGGGGGGGCCTACTTACAAGAGTTCCAAATCCAGAATAATTTCATCTCGTCCAACCTGGTCTGTGTACACCTTGACACCTCCGATACGTGGCGGCTAAAAAAATGCACAGACACACCAAAAAAAATATAAAAATTTGAAAGAACAACTTCATTTGATATAAAAATTTCTTTGAAATGCAAACAAATGATCGCATCTCTAACCTCAACCTAATCCCAATTTTGGAACCATAAAAGGAAATCATTGTTGAGGTTTTTGATATCTTTCAATGTTATTCTATGTATTGTACACAATTACAGCTTCTCTTCATACAATTATGAAATCTTCATTAAAAAAATTCCTGCATGAATTATTATTTTGCAACACAAACGATCTGCCGCAATGCAATGAACACGAGACCTGGTAAAAATAGCCTTGCAAAATGGGATCTATCAAATTTAATTGCACTGATGCCCTGGGAATTCAACCAGGTAAGCAATGAGGACAGATGGGAGACAGCTCCAGCAGCAACCATGAAATTAAAAACAAAAAACAAGTACGGAGGGAACAACACACATTTCCCTCAGCTATCCATCAACAATTAACACAACACTAAATGCTCGTTTGTTAATTTGACATTTAAGCGATGCCCAAATTTTTCCCCACACACATTTGTAATTTCAATCATAATAATTGATCAGTTAATTTTCATTATGTCAATTAGGGAAGATTGCGAAATCAATAATGAATGCAAAATTAAACAAACGATAACTTGAAGTTGAACCTAAGGCACCCAGTTAAACCTTGTAAAACTCTCATAAAATCTTGAGGACAGTTGAGGTAAACCTCGACTTACAGCCTCATTAGTTTTGCATTCTCTCCTTACAGATGTGTTTCAGACAATGAGACGGGAAACCGAGATCACAAAACCTTTGAACGACCATTGTCAGGATTTTGGTCAACCTTACCCACCTAGCTCTCTACAGGCTACATTCCTCAGTAAAACGTTCCTCCATTGTGCAAGACAACAATGGCCTATTCTTTGTACTTGCACCTTTCCAAATGGTGCAAAATCCTCCAAGATCTCCCTGGTGGATTGTGAATCCTCTGGGAGGCTTCATTTGTGTTGTTATCTCTATTGTGCCCTGCTGATCAATGGGGTCACTGAAGCCTTTCAGATTTTCCTGATCCAACGTAAGTACACGCATGGCCGTCCATGCAGTATAAAATAGCAATGGACAGATACTTGATTGTCCGAACCATTTGCTTGCCATTGTCTGCCACACAGATGGCGCCCAGGTCTCCCACACTATTAAACACAATTAAGCTTTGTTTGACAGAAGCGCCCTACCAATTGATGCACAGCTCGTGTGGCGCTACCAACAAAGATGATGGCTGTAAGATTGACTCTGACCCTCAGATATCCCTCAATTGGAGGAATTAGCAGGATTAGGGAACTTGATTTTGTGCACCACTGCATTCCTACACACTGTTGAATTTAAAGATTTAGGAAATACTAAACCCATTCAAACTTTTCTTCAAAGTTGCGTAGAAATATTTACTTCAAATATTTAAGTTACCCGTACCGGTAGGTACATGAAATGTTCGACATTTAAAACAAAAACAAAAACTGGTTACTGACTAGATTGACTGTTGCAATTGTTTGAAATGACTCCAGAGTCCAGAGTCTATTTAAAGAAAATTACTTTTCAAAGTTCTCCAAAAATCACCAGTCACTCCTGATACTAATCGTTTGTTGGGGACCCAACAGATCACCAAACAGTTCTCAGTTTGAGTTACTGTACACGTGTTTGAACACTAATCAACCAACTTACGTATGTGCCAAGTTTGATGGTTTCGAATTTGAAGGACTTGAGGTACGACGGTAGAGCTTTCAGTACCGCTGGCTCCACCGTGTCTCGCAGCATGGTCACCACGTAGCCCTCAATGAACGGCCACATCTGCTTGACCATCTGGAAATTTAATTTTTATTGTTTAAAAGAAAAAGAAATTAGTGAAGGGAATAATAAGGATCTGCATAAGACCAATCCTTCAGTGTCTGCTCCAGTGTCTGCATAATTCAGAGGATTTTCTGGAGTGAGATTGGTTGGGGGGGGGGGGGCTAATGAAAAAAACAACCTCCTGTTTGTTCTGTAGAGCCCTGAAATTGCGATATTAAAAAGGGTGGAATAAGGAGATAAGGTAATGGCATGAATAATTCTTGGGAAATGAACGTTCATGTCTGTGAACAGTTCAACAAGCAAATTGCACACATAGGCTTACATGTCTATTCTTTTAATATGTTTGTTGGCTGAACAAGAATAAATCCCAGAATGAAATTTGAAACAAAAAATTACAAACCTTATTTAGCCATTCAGCCCGCTCTGTATCAGGAAAGTACACCTGTAATTCAGAGAAAGGAACATACTTTTTAGGGCCCATGATCAGACAACATTAATGCAAAGGAAGTTTGAGTATCCTGTTTTTAAATAATCCAGGTATTATCTTTCAAATCTTTGGCATTTTATTTAAGCTTGGCTAACTGATACATTGTAAATTTAATGCTCTTTTGGCATCCGTTTTTTTCCCTATATATATGTTAAATTTATGATGATAACCAATTCAATGTTCACAAATCTAACAGTCATGTCTAAGTGCAATATCATATATTGAGCCCCGGCAATCCCAAGGCAAAATTCTTCCATGGGAATCAGGTTCAGCATACCAGACGTTGACCCTTAATCCCCCAGCCTGGGGGAATTCCAAGATTCGACTGGACTAATTGAAAGTTTGTTGGCAGATATTTCCAGAGATAATAAATAAGTGCATACAAGATACCGATATCCCCAATTGTTTGTACAGTAAGACTCAAATAAATCTCATGCTGCAGACAGCTCCGAATCTAAACATTTTAATGAAATTCCAGAGACATGATAAAATGTTGCTGACTGTAAACATGTAGGTATTGGAACAGTCTGCCAGTACGTACAGTCCACATACATGTACATGTACATGTACAGGATAATCCTGAATGAGATGTATTTCAAATACACGTTGACGATTTCTCTACCTCTAACCATTTCAAACCAACATGTGTAATCTGGCACATGGTTACGGTACATGTACATATGCACAACGGTGAATTGAATGACTTTTAACCCACTGTTAGTACTTTGGGGAAGTTCTATTGTATAAGCTATAATGGCTGGGATTACTAGTCAATCCATGTGCAACGTACCAACTTCAAATTTAAGGTTATAAAAATACAACCTTCACTTTGACACGTAGGCTATACATGTACTGTACATGCGTGTGTGTGAAATAGACATACATGTACAAAGTGCTAATAAGTACATTACACTTATCCACACTATGTGGCTGTGTACTTCTATCCAAGGTGTCTCCCTTTGTTAGAAATGTTTCAGCCCCATTGTCATTCAAATCCCATCATGGCCACTGCGCTACATGTATGTTGATTGATTCTACTGTTGAAGGCAGAACACACGCTGTTTTCCTCACATTTTAAAAATCATCTTCATGTCTTCTACTCTTCTCCCAAGTTTCTTTTTCATTTTTCCTCCTTTCCTGAAGAGGAGGGGAATCTTTTTTTTGCATCACTTCAACAGCAAGTAAAAGATTAATATTTTCACAAATGACCTTTGTTTCATTTAACAACATTATAATACCAGCCACTACACTTTGAACTGACTTTTTATTGTTTAATTGGAATTTGTTTTTATATTTTGTCTTCTTTTGTTACACTCCTAGTACAATTGAAGTACCCACCAGCACCTGCATACCACTAATAGCACCTATTGCTGGCAAAAATCAATGGCACGATGTCATCAGGTTTAAGTCTTTGGTAGTGACTCTGTGTAAGTTGAGAACATTCTTCAAGGCAACACAAGTCAAAGGCCACACTATTACTTTCATCCTAACGCAGCCTTGCATGAGCCTTGAACTGTACATTTATGTTGCGTATAGTCTGCAGAGGCACTAGGGCACCTAGGACAAAATGTTTGTGAACATTTTGAAAAAGAATTTTACAATTTGTGTTCAGAATGTGAAGTCAAGTATCATTGCTGTACAATAGACTGCATGTTGAATGCACATCAAATACAAATGTATACAGGGTGTTTCAATAAAAAGGAAACCCAAATTTGAAGAACCAGTATGGACAGACTAAATGTTTACTGGCTATAAAACTGGTATCATCTGAAAGCGTAATCTCTATGCTTTTCAATGATACCTTGTTTACCATTCCAGAGTCATGCATCACTGAGCGCCACTGTCATGAGATTTTGATGCAAAATTGCAGTTGGTTCACTTTCATGTCAAACACAATAGGCATGGTGTGCATGATAATAAGTATTCAAGAAGAAGACTAGAGTGCATAAAAAGAAACCAAAAAACAAGTCGGGTTGGTTTCAAAACTGGATTTTATTGTTTGCCATGAATTTCTCGTTTTGACCAAGCCACGTTCAAAACAATGTGCCATTTTCCCGAGGATTAACATTCAAGCCATTTCACAGACATTTCCGTAACAATAGGCACACCGTGCCCAGTGGGGTTTTTTTTTATGAAAGTGAACCATCTGCATTTTTGCATCCAGTTTTCAAGGCAATGATGCTCAGTGATGCATGACTCAGAAAACCTAAACACTGTATCATTGAAAAGCATAGAGATGACGCTTTCAGATGATACCAGTTTTATAGCCAGTAAACATATCGTCTGTCCATACTCATTCTTTGAAGTTGGGTTTCCTTTTTTTTGAAACACCCTGTAAATAATGACCTGCATTTTCTACCGATTCAAACCTTAGACAGGTTTACAGATTATTTGCTTCTCCATAAAAAAAAAATCCATCCTTTATTACACATTACATGGTAATGTTCTGTTATGTACAAGAGGCCCAATTTTTGGAAAAATGATGGTGTAACCTTCGTAATGTTTGATAAGTTGCAGACAGACAAAAATTAACTGGTAGGTACAGCTGGCATATCAATCACATCCAGTCAAAGCACGGCTATATCACATTAACAAGGGAATTCTTAACAGTCACTTGATTGATTTTGACTGCTTTAATGGCGTCGCTGACTTTAATATTGATAAAAACAACTAGGCCTGGCGCAGATTTCGCACTTAGTAGATCATAATACAGAGCTCAGTCTAATTGGACAAACTTCAAAAACTGACCCAAGATGGCAAGTTGTTGACGGCGCTAAGTATCGTCTCTTTCTCATTTTGCGTGGCACGGCGGGCAAGTTCCATGGTCAAGTGCTTCTGCTGACTGTTGCGTTCCCGCCATACCATCAGCACTGTCGCCTGCAGTAACCAAAAAAAAATGGAAGGGACAAATTAAAAACGCAGAAGTAATTCATTGTCAAGAGAATTACTCCCGGGATCGAATCCGCGCTGTGTTTCTTTACTTTTATGTTTTGAATCAAATCCTATTTTTTATTAAAGTAGGTTTCTTTTCTTTTTTTAGTGATCCAAAGTTTTGGAGGATTTCTTATTAAGGGAAAATAAAGTCCGAGAACCATTCTTTTGATCCAAGAGCCAACCAAATACCCTGATGGTGAATATTGTCAGGTAAGGGAACCACACATAAACATTAACAATCAACTGCCATATCGATAGTCACTCAAGATTAGAACTAGTACTCCCAAATTACCAATTAAAACATGTGAAACATAACAGGCAAAACCCTCTTGCATTTTTCTAAATAAGTTACACACAGGTTTAAGTTCACTTTTTATAATATTTCTTTAGCCCTGACCTCAACAACATGACTCAATAAACTGAAGAGTGAAGGTTACTAGTCTTGTTTAATGTTTACATAATCATCCAGATTAGAAGAAGATCCATCAATACTGAGTCACAAGGTCAAAATAAGACTTTATTTACCAGCAGCAACCAGCTCCAGCTGAATCGGAAATAGCCCAATCCCCAGACAGACAGCAGCATGGCGAACGACACTCCGTGTTTACGGAGCAGGCTCAGCAAATCGCCGCCCCGGGATCTGCCAGCGGCCTTGGCTGCCTGGCTGGCCGGCTTGTCAACGTCCGTGCCCGGTTCCAAGGGGTTCGGCCAGGCCGGTGTGTCGCTGGGAGCCATCGCGATCGGCTTGTTTCCGAGCTAGCACTGAATGAATGTTGTTTACCGACCAGGAGCTGAGAACTTTGTGTTTACGTGTGGATTGTTTCTAGATTCTTTTGATGTCCACAGACAGTCTGTTCGCGAGTAACGACTGCCGCATCGCACGCACTGCATGCATTATAGCCCGCCGGTAGCTGCAAAAAATACAAGTGCAGCACTTTATTGCAGCGCGGCCGCGCGCATGCAGTGCCATGCCGAGCGCCCTCTGTTGGTACGAGAGAAAACGGAATTGAGATAGCATTTATTTTGGGGCAATAACTCAAAATTTCGACATTGATATTTTTAAGATTATTTAAGATTTTTAGGGTTATTGAGGGCGCTCTGTTCATTTCTGAAAGTTTCAATGGGGCCCTATGTATCGTTTTTATTTTAGCACAACCTATCTCACACTGTTTGAAAGCCTTTGCCTCTTTTCAAAACATCCTATGTCATGTTTGCGTTCGCGTTATGAACATCAATGAGTTTTGGCAAAACGCTGTAAGTTATAGTACGTTAGGTCGTTTTTTCCTAAATTGGATACAAAACTTCCTTAAGTCTTTATAGCAAAACCAATCAAGTACGTGTTATGAACATTTATCTTAAGATACACTGTTTTGTCAAAATGATGCATGTATGTATATACATGTATGTGACAGTATTGTGGCAAAAAAAAACCAAGAAAATTACTGCCACGTTTTGCAGGAAAGTAAAACAATATGTCTCCCATGATCACACAATTTGATAGCATCAAATCCAGTTATTTACAAAAAAGCCAGCAAGTTAATGTTTAAAATCGATCATCTCAAAATTCCCTTTTTCAAGATAGACTGCTTTGCCATGAAAGGGCCACTTTAGTTTTTACAAATATTAATTAGTTCATAGGTCATACTGTGAGTTTTTTTCTGACATTTTTCGTATATCTCGGCATCATTTCGGGTTTCAGTTTTCGCCTGCCCGGTCAAGTGTTCGCAAATCTCTTTTGTAAGAAACCTGCTTGAGTGATTTTATGAAAAACAATTTGAAATTGTGAATTTGTTTTTAAGAATTTTAAAGTGAGGGTATTTATTTTAGGCACTGACGTTGGCCTATAGTACGTACGTGTGCCATGCGTTGCACTGTATCCTGGCGAAATCTTTTTCGTTGATATAGCTTAAAACTGCAGGAAGACAAAACAATTAGGCCTACCGAAAATGTGCGGAATCAGTTTCGTTCCTTTATGAGTCTGAGCTATCGTAATGTTATAAAAGAAATTAAATAATTCCACTCATTCACATCGACCAACTGTGGAAATTCACCAGCATACATGGCAAGGGCGGATCCTGAACACATTTTTGTTTGGGGGGGTGGGCAAAAAAAAAAATTGGTCCCCCAAAAAAGTGGGTCAAAAAAATTACGGCGTGGGGTTCAGGGACACATTTTTTTGATTCTAAATGCTCTGTGGTGCGATATGAGGCAATTTCTGACCACTTTGACCTTTTTTTTTTTCAAAGGAAAAGATGGTGGTGTATACGCAGTGCGTGCCTTTATAGCGACGTCATTAAAAAAACAAATGGATTCGGGTTTTTTTGGGAGGGGGGCATGTCCCCCGTTGCCCCCCCCCCCGGATCCGCCCTTGATGCACGGACGTCCCGTGACAGTGACATTGTTGGTATAATTATACTTTGATCAAGTAACACAAAAAAAAATTATTGTAAACTAAATTTTGAACTTTGTCCGATAAGGTCAATTCTTCACGAACGGGAGCCCAGTTATATGGCACTAAGTATCCATTCAGTTGCACTGTAGCAACATACTAACCCCCTTTGCCGTTTGCGATTGTTTCGGGAAGTTATAAACATGGCGGGGGGAATCGAAAGAGAGCTGTCGTTGTGTGGTGCATTGTGAGTGCCATTTTTTTCTCAATAGCAATAGCTAGAGCGCTCTAAAGGTAAGCAGAATGTTGGAAAACAATATACCGCCGATTTCCTTTGTTCTATGAAAAAAAGTCGGCAATTTGGTGAAACGTGTAAGGTTAAATCTATATTAAAGTCATGTGCACATTACTCAAGGCTTAGCTTTAAACTGTTCAGTATAATATGGGACTAAAAGTTTGCAAAATGTTGAAATGACAACGTTTCAAATCTGCGTTACAATAATTTGGTATTGTTGCAGCTGGGGGTTTTTTTTCAAGAGGGAAAGGGGACTTTTCCCTACCTGTTCCTGTACTGATACACACCTCCCCAGATGAAATCCTGCGTACAGGCCTGAGTTTGGGCATCCTTTGCCACATTCGATTCTCATTTGCAGATTATAAAAAGTCACTTTGGCAGTATTATACCCAGCATGGCATCTGAGACATCACACCTTCTAGCCCACACCACCGACAGCGATGACGACGGAGCGGGACCGAGCAGAGTCACTGCCCCACCGGCAAACCAAGCAAGCCTTCCCCGGACCAACACCGCGTCATCCCCGGACAACCCACCTCCCCTACGCGGTGCAGACGAGACTCAACCCCTGCGGTCCGTCCCTCCCGTCCCGCTGACCAGACTCAAGACCGTGGTCAACGCCTACATCATGTGGTTCCCGTTCGGATTTTTCGGTTTCCATCACTTCTATCTCAAGAACATCTCCATCGGTTTCAATTACATGTTCACCTTTGGGCTGTTCGGGTTCGGTTGGTTTGTGGATTTTTGGCGTATACCCATGCTGGTCAAGGCTGCTAATGCTGAGGTACATTTAAGACATGTTTCATTTCAGCACAGTTTGATTTTTCTTTTTAAAAACAGATAAAGGCCTAGTTCAGTTGACAAACGAGCTTCAAAATATGCATGTTATATACTTATTTTGGGAATATGGATTTAATTTTAAGGTAAGGGTGTATTTTTTTTAACGGACCGTTACCGTTACCTTGACGAGAAATCATTTCCAAAAATTTCAAAGAAAGCGAACCAGAATGTTGGATATATTATGGATATTGCATTTTGTATCTCATTTGAAGTCGTTAATTAAACTGTATTTTGCTTTAGACTCAGGTCATTTGGATTCGTGATACCCCAACCATTCAATCCCTAAATACCGCTTCACAGTGCCTGAAAAAGAGAGCATCTTTCAGCTTGTTTCGGTCAGTCATGTCCGAATAAATGACACGCCCCTGACAACAGGATGATCACGAAAGCTCAATTAATCAGCCATCGATTTGGACGCCATGTTTGAAGTATATATCTACATGTATTCATAAACAGAATACTCCTTTTCATTTTGTTTTCAGATCGAAGCCAAATGGATATGGGAGCATGAGATTGCCGAAGTGCCGAACCGAGACGAAGTTCCCGAATTCAAATACGAAAAGCCGAAGCGTCTGTCAGACTGCTACCTTCTTGGATTTACCACTGGATTTTTAGGTAAAAACAAAAATAGCTGATGAAAATAATTTTGTCTTTCAGTTGCATGATTAAAAAGAATTGTTGTAGGGAAAAAAATCATGTTGTTGTTAATCGAGCCATCAAAATCCAAGTTTGAATAATATGGGCGTGTTAACGTAATTATTAATAGTTATGCGGGTTTGTTTTATCAATAACGATCGTTCGATTAATTTTAATGAACGTTCGATTAATTAAAGTTAATTTTATCACCGGAAATCTGCAATAAACGTCCTTCAAATAGAAATATTTTTGTCCCAACAACAAAATAGCAATCAGCTAATTTCACATCTATGAATTGCCACGACCATTTGACCTTTTCACATATGACCTTGTTGCTAGGTTTCCATCAACATTATCTTGGCCGTCACGTCCTCGGTTTGGTCTACATCTTCACCTTCGGTTTGTTCATTGTGGGCGTCGTGAGTGACTGGATCCGCATGCCCATTCACCTCAAACGCTACAACCAACGGCTCTCCAACAAGCTCCAAGGCATCGAGCAGCCTCCGAGGTACTACCTGGATGATGCCTACGTCTTTGCCGTTCCAGGCGGGATCTTTGGTTTCCACAACTTCTACCTCGGTCGGTACTTCTGGGGGATCGTCTACCTGCTGACCCTTGGCGTGCTCGGCATGGGATGGGTGGTCGATCTCATCAGAATGCCATTCCTGGTAGAGGAAGCCAATCACCGGGCCAAGGCCGGACGGACGGGATATGACGGCGTGGAGGAAGGGACCAAGTACCAGTCCGTCGAGGAGGATTTCCCGCGGATCAATCCGTACTACTCGGACTATAACTCCGGTCAGTCTCAATGCTCCGTCTCTCAATCCGATACCTCCGCGTCCGCGGGCCCTGCTACCTCAAGGAGCAGACCTGCACGCCCTAAAAGGAGTGTCTCAAAGCCTCGACATTTCAAGGAGTTCCTGTCATCTACTGAGGCCGAGCCGACCGCCCCATCGCAACCACAAGATGACATCTCACTCCCCTCTCACTCATCAGGCGGTGTACCGGAGCCACCTCCTCCTTATGCCCCGGTGGCTGATCCTGGTAGTGCTTTGCCAAATGATGAAACCGAGATTTGAAGCAACGTTGGCAAAATGTACATTCTCATACCATTGAGTTCATTGCAATCACAAGGCTGTGTCACATAGGCCCCTAGTTGTTTTCAAAAAAAACCTCACCATCACCTGACTTTAATACCCGAATCTTGACGAGCATACAAATTACTTTATTTCCCATAGCATTTAATTGGTCTCGCAAAAGATGCTGTCACCTTTTCAGTCATGTTCCCTGTATCCAATACCATTACTTAATGATAATTTGGTCTTGCACTGATTCACAATAATAAGTTCTGTATGCTGAGTCACAGCCGTTAGTGGTATAAGTATACCCACCATCCCCTTGGCTTTTACCGTTTTTACCAATGTGGTGTGTCAGCAAATCGGCAGCGACGAAGAGCGCCAGCTATTTTCAAATAGACAAGTGTCCAAGATCGTCCGCTTTGAATAGCGCCCCCTATCACGAGTAAGGTGCTGTCAGCCTGTCCACCCCCATTTCTATTTTGCGACAGCCAGGTGACCACAAATAGATCCCGAAATACCTTACACAAAACGAAGGGTCTGTCCCCCCCCCCCCCTCACCCCCACCCCAAACCCCCCCCCCCCCCCCCCAAAAAAAAAAATAGTAATAGTAATAAATTGTATTTGGTTTTGCGACGTCCCTTACCCGTGGACCCAAAACCTGTTCCCTACATTCCCACAATAATTAAAATTTGAAATGAGCGCCGTCAGTCGAGGAAACGTCCCTGGTAGGCAATGGATCTAAAACATGTTGTGAGAGCGCATGTAAACCAGCGATGTAATAACGCATATTTTTGACATGTTCCCGCCCTTGATACTCTGACTTTACAATACATCGCCATTTAGGCCTTTTGGATGTGGACTGGTCAAAACGTCACCTTCTCTTGTACGAATACGCGCCCAGGCATTCTCAGGTCAGCATGCAGCGCTAAAAACAATGTTACCTGAACTAAATCTGGACGAACTTAGGAAGAGAAGTATTAAAGTAGGTGGGCGGCTCCCATAATAATTCTGATGCCGTAAAAACTAATGAAAGTCAAGTACACTCAAGTACAAAATAATGATTTTGGTTTTATTGTAATAAATGTCCCAACAGGACCACCTTTGAACAATTGTTACGAAAGCTAGGGAGACAGATCTCCTGGAATGTGTCAAGTTTGGAAATTAACATAACAGAGGTCACCGACAGAAGATGCAAATGAAGTCTTATGAATATTTACATACTTTCATGTGGCATAATAAGGAAGGCTCATCTGTACAAGAGTTTGCAAGATTATCCTCAAAGAAAATCACCAGTAGTCAAATTGTTTAACACTGCTACGTACAACGGCTGTCATATCCAAATGATCTTTCAGATAGTCACTACCATGAATGTCAAAGGGTATGGTTTGGAAGTCTTTTTGTCTTTGGGATAATTTTACCAAGTTTAATATATTTGTATTTGTGCATCACCTGACCATTTTAGTGAATTGTAAAAATGACCAACATTTTCCCAAAGCGTGTGCATAGCTTCACTAATACAGGGAGATCACGACTGAAATTCATTCTTGATTATTCTTAAAGAAAAGGCAAACAAAAACTAAACTTGATTCAGTAATGCTTATGTCACTTTTTCAAGTAAAATAGGAAATATTGCATAAATGCATGATGCTATTGGAAGAAAGTTTCTTTTGAGACAACTTGATTATAACAGAACTGTTCAGAATTATTATATTATATGTTGGTCTTTTAGGTCGTCATTTAAATTATGTGTATAATTATACTCATGAATACTCAAATTAAACGATATATATAGATCAGGATGCTGATGTTGTCACCCCTTCTTAATTATTGCTACTACGCAGACTTGAAAAATAAACCTTGTTGCCTGCAGCCTGAGAAAAAGGCCCCCCAAAAAAAACAACGGACGAAATTGTACGTTATTAATGAGACAGCTGGAATGTAAGATGATTGTTGCATTTTTATACAGGCTGACAATGGCTGGCTGACGTATTGCTATAAACAAATTAACGAGATTTTACTTTGTTCATTCATAAATACATACAATCTACATTTATGACAAGAATTAAAAATTAGCTCACCGGAAAATTACTCCCAAGCTTTACAGTGCTCACCGGAAAATTACTCCCAAGCTTTCGGTGCGGTGCTCCTTCTTCAGGGGACTATGGCTTGTACATGCTTCTTTAGGCTTCTTCAGGGGACTGGAGAAGATGTACCACACCGAAAGCTCGGGCGTAATTTTCCGGTGAGCACTGTAATAATCTTTTACTTCTTGTCATAAATGCTCCACAGTGCTCCGCAACATCTCCACTTTTGTTATTCTACAATTTACATTTGTGCGGATTTAAAGAAAAAAATACAGAGAATGTGTTTGTCACAACGTCGATTAATAGGTTTGAATTGTCTTGTAATTCTTGCAATGATTTTTCTATGGCATATTGCTTGACAGATATTAAACATTTTCGATACTGCAATAGAATGAGTTTCTTTTGTCTTTGCCAACTAATTATTGCCCCTCCGTTTCCTTTCGTAATAATCATGATATTTACAAATTACCAATAGTATTGTTGGCGTACACGCGCGACGGCATTACAGCCATTTATAATGGCTTGTGGAAAATATTTTGTCGATTATAATCTTATTAATAAAAGGCATGTACAGGTCCTAATCATGTTCTTATCCATCCATGGCCACACAGAAGACAAGAATCGCACATATTATTAGACAAAGACTTATCTCAAAATCACTCAATTTTTAACCAATTCAATTCTGCGAAGAATCTGTCAGTCTTCGGGCCTCCCCCCATTCGAGTTCAAAACTGAAATCCCCTACAACAATGTCAGCCTTGAGATCTAGAACTACTTCTCCCGATGTAAGGATGCGTCCAAGTTATAGGCTACGGCCGTCGGCCAGCAGCAACACATGCGCTTATCATGGAAGCGGCTGGATACAATTCTCAAAGACTCCTGAATTTCTGAACGATCGAGGCCTCAATGTCAGCTCATCATCGGAAACTAAGGACAATTACAGCCTCTCAAAATAAGGTCTTATAGTGCTTGACAAAAATTATTATTACCCCTTTTCATCAGGCCGTTATGCGACCAGTTTTTGCAGCAGCTCGAGATCAGCGCGTTTCTGATCTCTACCTTCAAATGTCCAATTTATACTCCTGGGTGGAGAGAGGCAATTATAGTTAAGTGTCTTGCCTAAGAACACAAGCACCATGTTCCCCGTCAGGGTTCAAAACCACGTACCATGTACCACGGCACGCGAGTCGACCACAACCATAGAACCACAGCGCCCCACACAAAGTCATAATTCCACACAAAGTCATAAATGCAAGTTAATTCAACCTGCTTGTCCGACTCGAATAAAGAAATAAAGCCATGACCATCAGCAGCATCTTCCGACTTTTTTTTCCTCCTCTTCCTTTTCCTCTTCTTCCTTGATCTGTTCCCGTAGCAACAGCAGGCTTGGCGGGAAGGATAAGAAATCCTCGGACTTCCTGCGTGCGTCGTAGTCCTTGGTGATGAGCCCACAGTTGGGGGCGCTCTTGCTGAGAGAGATGAGGGCCAGGGACAATCGCAAAAAGGCCTCCTGGACTCCTAAATAAATCCAGTACAAAATTAATCGTGTGACAATATTTCTTTTGAATAACTGTTTGACGTACTTAGTCCTTAACGTTTGTTCAATCAGAACTTTTTGGGGTGTGTGGAAACAGTCAGGTATAAAACGGAGCCTCCTATAATCCTCCCAACCACAAATAAGACAAATGAAAGAAAAAATCAATTTACGGAAGAGGAAACTTTGATCCTGAAAGTTTCGTCTTTGAGACTCGAACAAAATGGTTGTTGATATTCAGATCTGTTGTGTGACTCTATCACCTTGGTTCAACGAAAATAGACTATGCCTATTTATGTTAGGCCTAATACCAATATAGTTTTTTGCCCATAAACAATGGATTTCGCTCACGTCTTAGCTACAAAAAAGCTACTGTGACCACCTCCATCATGCATCGGTATTAAGTTGTGTTTACCTTCGTTTGTGAGTGCGGATGTCTCAAAGAAAAGTGCTCCTATGGATGCAGCGTACATCAAGGCTTCGTCAGACTGCACTTTCCGCTGGTCTTTCAAGTCACATTTGTTTCCTAAGACGCAGAGAACTAGGAGCAAGACAAAAATACCATTGTTGAAGTCGGATCCATCACAAGTCCGACCATAGGTAACCCACAAGTCCCTTCACAAGCCCGGTCAAAAGTAACAGGGGATGGGAAATAACAAATGAATACGTTTGGGCAAAGTTTGATGTAAATAGTTTGTGACTCGACTTGGGACTTGAGGACTCAATCCGGACTTGTGAGGTTTTAGAGGATTTGTGATGGACTCAATTCAAATGCAACACTTCGAAATAGCGACTCATATTCAGCCTTGAACGATTGAGGCCGCTGTTCAAAGAAGTTCAATCTGTAATATTGCATCCTAGCTATTTCTATACCACAGCACCCTATTACATAAGACGGAGCGGTATATTATGGACTCAAGGAGCCTTTTACCATGAGCCTGAGGGTACACTGTTCAGACTGTGGTTGAATGAACCCGGAAAGGCTTGATTTGCTTGAAAGATCAGTACAGTGCACGAAAAGTGGGAAAAAAGGGACGGTGACGATTTCGTGGAAATTTGGTTGTTTCAGATTTTTATTGGCGAATGATACCAATGTCCTCCAATCAGGCCGCATAAGTTCATACTCATCTTGTGACTTGGACTTACCCATAGGAGTGTCTGTTGCCGTCTTCAGCTCTGTAATGAATAAGATGTTCCAAACGAACACTTTGTTTAATATTGTAGTTGCTTGGATACACTTTTAATTGTAGCTTTGCTCGATGGAACTTGAATGAGACAGTTTATACATAATCTTTCAGATCATACCGGGCCAGAAGTAGTTTTGGAAAGAGGAACTTGGGATCATCATAGAAAGTCATATAAAATCGTGCCCCTCAACTATATTCATCAGAATGATGGTACCAGTACTTCGTTGTGGGGAACTAAATTATTTCATTTTTAAATTTTAAAATATAATAACAAATCTCTCAAATCAGTCCACTGAGTCCAACAATTATTTCAATGTTTTGAGCCATCTCCCCTGTAGATCAATACAACTTAACCGTTCCGAACTCTGCTGATTAACCCACTTGGGGAAAAAAACAAAGCAACTACAAAATGCTTTTAATATTGTCTAGGCGTTGGGATTCCTGAATTTAGAACAATATGAATCACGTGGACAGTTTTTTATTGATCACGTGATTGCTTCCTACGTCACTGACCGTCCACCCAGGTCTTCATGTTCTCAAACGTGGAATACTGGGTGATGTCGTATACCAAGAAGGCCGCATTGGCTTTTCTGTAGTACATAGGCGCCATGGATCGGAACCGTTCTTGTCCTGCCGTATCCCACACCATCAGTTTCACTCTGTGGTTATCGACTGTCCTGTTTCGAAGGTTGCCATAAAGATAAAACAAAAAGTGCTGATTGTCAGTCAAGAATGTTACATAGACCCTAATTTCCTTATCCGCAAGATGTGTTTTATCTGTTTTCGTCTGTGAAAGACTAGTCTGATTTTAAAGAAACTTTGGAATCGTTGGGTTTTTTTCAGCAAGACGCTTTGTACAATGATCAATCAACTCGCAATTATTATGTTGAAAGGGTTACACCAGTTGATTACTTTCCTTGGTAGAATTTACTCATTATCGAACTGATACCCACAAGATTTCGGTAGAGTACAGTATCATGACGCCACTATGTTGTCGTCATTATGTAACATCAATGCAATTCAGGCATAGTGATTGACTGTGTCGACAACTCCTGAAGCTTGTGTACGCAGCCAGTAGGATACCACGGTCTTTACAATTTCTAATAGTAGGGCCTATACTATTCACATTTCAGACAAACTTTGAATGCTTTTTCATTTGGCATACGATATGCTTAGGGTCATCAATCCAGGATATAAATTTCTAAACCCGATCGCCATCCTAACATGAATGAAACATGTCACGTGTCTCATCATACTCACATTTTGAATGTGAAGAATGAGGCACCTACTGTTGGACTGACGTTTTTGCTGAAGATTTTCCCGACGTACCTTACCACTAGACTCGTTTTTCCAACACCTGTTGGCAAACATCAGATTGGTGTGATTATAATTTGCCTTCAGCAAAGGAAATACTATAGTTTTAAAGTTTTCAAAACCGAGAACAGTCTGAATGAAAGGAGTGGATTGATACCGTTATATTCTATTAAATATCAGTTGGTAGGACCAGCTTTAGTAGGCTCACCTTGTCCCTTTTTTAAGTGGGAAGGTAAGGGGACAGACATTTAATTTCCTTAAAGGCTTTGTGGCACTTTACATGTATTTTTACAAGTACGAAGTGCTATCTGTAATTGAGGTTGACAGGCGATAAAACCGGGGAGAGCTGGGACTCAAGTCTTCTTAGTACTATACAACGTTTGGTTCTGATGTCGTCGACCATTTTGATACAGTCACCGACACGTTTAGATCTGATTTGTGCTGTTTATATAAAGTGATGCAAAAATGTCCAAGCGTACCAATGTCATGCACTTAATGTACGCAACGGCAGTAAATGAGATAAGCATCCTGCTGATACTATTGAAGTTGAATGCCAGGGTCCATCCAAGTGTCAATGATGTCTAATTTTAGGATATTCTACACCATGCTTATCACTTATCTTTCCTTAAATAGAACATTTCAGAACCGAATAATTATGATATGAGAATTAAATTTCTGAACTTATGGCATGTAGGTCCTATCTATAAAGACTTCTATGTAGACCTCCATCGATAATATTCCGTTATCATAAACCTAATGGTGTATGATCACGAAATTAAACTTCGTTCACGAAGTGAAGAAAAGTGACGGATTAAAATTGCCTTATTTATTTGGTAAAAATATGATACAGTTGAAGGAACAAAATGCTATAATTGCCGCTTACACAGTGATGAGAAGGTACAGTGGCGTAGCCAGGAATTTTTCAGTGGGGGGGGGGGGGGGGGGGGCGCTGGGGGGCTGGAACATTTCATGGGGGGGGCGTCATGTAGATCAATGATAATTTTTTTTAGAAACTCAAAATCTCAGTGGGGGGGGACTGGGGGAGCGACAAGGTTTCATGGGGGGCTGTCGCCCCCCCCCCCCCCCCACGCCCCCGTGGCTACGCCACTGAGAAGGTATGATAATGTAAAATTATTCTCCTAATTTATGGCGACGACAACTAGTTTAAGCACAAATTGCTTCGGTAAATTTTGATCCTCATATATGTATATGATTTTTTTTCACAGTACTAGACGAGGTTTCTCTTACAGTACACAGCAAAAGCCGATCCTGTAACTATTTAAGCAAATTGTTGACTTTTGTACTAGGCATGATAACACGTTGAACTTTGGCATTGTGGTACCACAGTACCATGGCGTTGGGTTTTGTATTGGGTTTTTCCAAAACTATGGGTGCCGACCCTTACCTTTGGGATTCTGGCTTCAGTATATAGCTTCATGCTCTGCTTTAGAAAAATACCAAACTAATGTGCATGTTGCATTCTTTGAGAATTGGATACGATTGACATAATTATCAAATGATTTCAAAGTATTCTGGATTCAGTTATAGTTTTCGCTTTAAAGCTTTAAATTTCATTTGTTAAATACGATTCTGACCTAATAAATTAAATATTGTTTTTGACAATTACGTGTTGATTTGTAGTTATCTTTTCTTGTGTTCCTTATTCCGTTTGCATTAAGTCTTCTGCAGCCTTAGAAATTAGACTAAATAAAATTAGAGTTGGTAATTGCCTTGAATTGTGATGTGGACTTTTTAACAAATCCACAGAGCTGTGAAAAGTTCCTGTAATTCGGTTGTTGGCCATTTTGGGGGCGATTTCAACTGACCATAAACGATGACCGATTGACGTAATTAATCTCATAGTTTGTTTAAAAAATAGACTTTTCTACATTTTGTCAACAGATTGAATTTACTTGTCTTTTGAGTTGTTGTTCTTTTCATGTATCTTCAAAATCCGAAACAAGTAGACACCGACGTGCACGGGCGCTCACCTTCGCTCAGCCAAACGTCATCATTGCATGGACGGGCTGTTAAGGGTAAAAGTCCCCTTTGTGATTTTAAAATTTTCAAAATTACAAAAAAAACGGCACGAAAACCTACACGCAAAATGAAACGAAGGAACGAAGAAAAGACTAGAAGGACCTTTGACCGACTAACCGAATGACTGATAACCGCTTAACACAGATATCACAATTTTAGTCTGCTAATAATCTTGTGTTTGCAAAATGTATGTAAGCTGACCGATTTAAAATGATTTTTTAACATTCAACCAGGAAGTACATGTGTAACTCGGAAAGAAGTGCACGGATTTACTGTACCAACATCAATGTTCAGTATATAGTTTCCAAAGGCACTTGAGATTCTGGGACATTTTGAGGGTATTTTAAGCCTCAGATTAAAAGTGTTTTTAGTCTAGAAATCTCAAAAAGTGTCATTCGTTTTGCAGCGTTGCGATCACTGACGTCCTAGCTATTCATCAAATGCAATTTAGCATTGGTCATGTGGGTGTCAACGGTGAAATGTTCAGTTTCATTTTCATTTTATATGCACTGTAAAACTTCAATGTCATTATTTTAAATTATTAACACTTATCCGAGCTCCCTGGTTTTTCTTTTAATATTAGCATCACGTGGTTTTAAATTTTACAGTTAGTCGTGTGTTATTTGGAACGTGCCAAGGAGCTGGTACCTCACCTTCTTTCCCAAGTACGACCACCTTCGCTTCCAGCGCCTTCATCCGGGGAGTTGGGGGCCCAGCCATCTTGGCAACAAGCTCAAGCAGACGACAGCTGGCAGTCCACTATATCTTAGTGATTGATGCTGGGGAAAAAATCCAATGGGGTTTTGAAGGGAGACACAGCCCAAGCAACGACAAAGTAACGTCAACGTCAATTCTTACAGATGGCCGAATGGTAAGTGATAAGTGTGGTAGCTTGGTGAGCCAAGTACAGATTTTTACAATCAACTTCCATAGACATCTGCTTAGTTAAACGTTAATTCTTTCAAATCCTCGAAAACACTGGTTTCTTTTTTTAGTACATTCGTTCACTCACATCCAATTGCATACCAAAATAATGTGCATGTTGCATTAGACGCGAACCAGCCACTTGTCACAAGATTCATCTACATGCATATGACATCACCGCTATCAAATGCCATGTATTCGCTCCTGTCGGTTAGCCTGGTACAAAGGTCATTACCAATAATTAGATACCACACTGTGTAACAGTAACAGATGTGCGCATGTGTATTGAAGTTATAAATATTTGAATAAAAGCACCGGAGATATATTGCTGAAATAATCATTTGAGTTTGTGATAAGTTTTTTTTTACCGCAATGGGGGGGGGGGGGGGTGAATAGAACTCGGTTAGCAGCTTGTGCAGTCTCGTGATTTTCTGTAATATCACGGGTTGAATGATGCTTATAACTTCATTATCAACGAAGGAAATGAAGTATACAGTGCAAAGTGAATTTATTTAATAAGATAGAGCTAGCAAGGAGAGATTGGTAAAAGTATATGAAAGTGACATTTTGAATGGAACCCTTCATATACACAAGTTACTTCATGCCATGTGTTCATGTAGCAGCGCCCTCAATGATTTGAAAATTGCATCAGCAGGGAGACATCAAAATAGTTGCACCTTTTCCTTGTGGCTACGTTTCTTCTTGCCGAGGTCGTAAAAAATATATGTAAACAATCACCACGTGTTGAAATTTCGACAAGGGTGTTTTAATATCTCATAGAGGCGTCATTATTTTCCGGGGACTAGCCAGTCGCGTACGCGTAACCAGAATTGTGTTTGCCTGTATGTTAATGTTGAAAAATAGAATTTTCGATTTTTCCCCCGGCCATCGGCGTCAGATGAAAGGCTGGGCTGGGGGGGGGGGGAATCTTCTTATAGGGGGCGCTGTTCTAAGCGGACAATCAGGGACACTATCGGACAATATTATAGGTGGCGCTTATCATCCCTGCAAATCTGCCGACGGACACACAATTTTTCCGACAGGACGATTTCACCGAGCTGATTTTTGCTTCTATCAGCGTCCCAATTTTGCTTTTTCTAAATGTTTAGCCCGTTGGAACCTGCAACTGCTGCACCCCCCCCCCCCCTCCGTCCCCCTCCCCCGGTTACGCTAGTAGTAGTACCCGTATTTTCGAGCGTTGTTTGAGCCAGATCATTCAACCAATTCAGGTCCTCAACAACATCTCAGAAGGAACAACAATCGTGACCTCACGAGTTGTGCTGTATTTCTGTTCCTTGCTCTATGTTCTAACGCATCAGGTGTCCAACTCAAGATCGTGTCTTGAATGGCACGTCCGTATTTAAATGAGATCTTCGTTGGCGGGCCCCGTGCTGGAGTTGGTACCGTGCGCAGTCGATTATTCACGGCCGAGACAATGCCGACCCGCCGGTGGGTTACTGGTGGCCGCTGGTCCGTGAATAGGTGGTCCGTGTTTAGACGTCAATTAGCGAAGATGACAACACATCTGACTAGGACGGGTGTGAAGTGGCCCTGCCAATTTGTGGAGAGGTGCCAAGCTGATAGAATCGACTCATACAATATGTAGACCAGGGAGGATTCCACTAAAGTGTACCGACAGCAGTACCATGGAGCTATGGTAGTACTACGTTTACGTTTCTCAAAATCATAGGAACTGCTCATTCCATACCATCAAACAGAATGTGAACAGCCCAATTTACCGGGGGGATGGGGGGGGGAACACACGAAGAATATTTTCTGATGGTCAGGTGGCGGTTTTCAATTCATTGAGGTTCGCAATTGGTCGACAAGGAAAGATCATGCACCTGTAGTGATTCTATGTTGGACCATGGAGGAAGGATTCCTCCATGGTTGGACCTCAAAGCGATGCTCGAAGTTGAAGCAAGCCGTTAGGCCAAAAAAAAAAGGCTCCGGTTTCTGGTATGCGCGCGCGTCGCCGTAGCCATGCGCGTCGGCAAAATGAAAAAGTTTTTTTTTCAATGAAAGATGATGTCTCAAAACCGCCAAACTCACTGGTTTGACTGGAATCCTGCTGCTGCACAATTTGATCGTGATTTTAGATGGGGTTATGATCGAGAATAAGCTTTATGTGGCCTCTCTGGACTCCCATATATTTGCACTAAGTTTAGTCGGGCACCATTTGCAGTCATCAGCCGACGTTTGAAGCAAAAAAGTGAGGTAAAAAAAAAAAAAAAGCCGCGTCGCCGCACCACTTTTTGGACAAGCTCCATACCAGAAACCGGAGACTTTTTTTTTTGGCCTTAGCTGTTGCGTGCGTCCCAGTAGCTTTTTTTTGCACAGCGCCCTCTCCCGCCTTAAAGGAGCAAACAATAATATCAGTGATCGAAATGTTTAATGGGTTCTGTCTACGGTTTACAGTTGTATACCGTTATGTCATATCTTAGCAACCTGTAAAGACGCAAAGAGTCTTTTTTTTTTGCGGCCTCGAATTTGTTTCAAAATGACGATTCCGTGAGTTAGTTATAGAACTCATAAACACGAGAACCGGCCCTGTCTTTTTGAATTCTATTTAGGCCTACAATGTAATGCAATTTAAGTATTTGCCTCATTTTAAAGACCTGGGTTCTCGCATCTTTATGTTAATTTTATATAATTCATTTTTGCAACATTAATCCCCCTACTTTCTATAACACCAGCATATTAAATTAAGATTCAGGTTTATTTCTTGAAGATTGAAAGCGCTTTTTGATAAATAATTGAAAATGTGTCGATTTGTGTTGTAATTTTCCCGCCAATTTGCAGTGGCTCGGCTCCAACACTTTTCATGGAAACGCTCGTTACCAAGCTACTGAGATTAAAGCATTGAACCTTAATTACGTCCACAACACAAGCGGGATCGATTCTGGCATTATGATCGTCTCTTTTCTTTCCCACTTTCTCCACAAAGGATTCACTGCTTGTAATCCGCGGATTACGAGGGGATTACAAGGGCTTTGGGTCAATAGATTGCCAAAGTAACAACGGGGTCTAAAGGAGTTGATTCAGTCTTTGGAATGAAGTTGTATACTCTGTGTTGCCTAATTAGCTGGGGTCCGTTATTGCTCCCATAAGTGCTGTTGCAAACTGTGATGATAATGGATGAATGATGGGAAGATTCTAATTGGAAGAATAGATGACTTGACGGACAAACACATTAAATGATTCTATACTTAGTCACTCTGCCTTGTCCTTCCACAGACTGTGTCCCTGGTTTCAGATTTTACTCAAAAGTCTCATCATCATCATCGTTGGGCGGCCGCAGCCAAGATGGATGCAACCAAACTCTTCCAGACTCTCTTATCCGCCATGGCCGGGAATGTCATCGACGTGCTGACTCACATCATTGCATACTAAGGCCAACTTCTTCATGTTTTCATACAATGCAATTCGTAAAATGTCAAAGAAAATTTCAGTTGCGTGTATGCCCCGCCCCTCCCCCCCCCAAAAAAAAAATACAAAAATACAAAAAGTGGTTCAAATTTATCAGCATAATCAATGCACAATTTTGTTTGCGTGGTACTGCCTAGATACGACTGTAGCTACACCTACAATTTTCTGAATGAACCAATACCATGGAGGTCATTGAACTCGCATCCGTACAGCATAGTCGTGTTGAATATTGGGAGGGGCTACAGGGTTATTTACGGACATTTATTCATTCATGCATATAGGAAAGAAATCGAAGGGAAGCAACAAGAGATCACATAGCGAGGTAGTAGGTGAGGTTCTTTCGAATTTTTTTTTCAGAAAAAAATATAATAATAGGGGCAAGTTTGTTGAGTTGAGCCAAACTTTGGTACTACGAGGTTAAATACTGAGAAAACCCGCTCATACAGTGGCAATGCAATTCTGTTCACTTATAATCTAATACACCAATAATCTAATACTTCCTGCAAACCACTTTATACCGCAAAGACAAGATTATAAGATATCACCTTGTGGAAATAAAGGTCCTGAATTATATTTTTTGGCGGTAGGCTAGGAAGATGTTGTAAGCCCTATGGCCAATTTCCCACGACATCTTTACCACACAAATCCATACGCAAACGCCTATTATAGTCCTTCTGACTTGTACTTGGGCGTCACTAATTGGGAAGGTAGTTAGATTTAGTATTATTGATGAGAGGATTGTGTCTATTCTGAGGTTTATAATAACGTTATACCCTGTTCCCTTTCAGAGTGGTCGTAGAGTCTTTAGTGATGAGAGAGGCGAGGCTTGGTAAAAATAAATCGATGCTTCTTGCAAGATTGTACAAACGTGCAGTGCCTGGATTCAGGGACTAAGCTGAGGGCTTTTATATCCCCGGGAAAAAAATCAACTTTTCTTTTGCTTCCTTTTGCATCAGCACTGTCTGACTTAAATACATGAGCGGAATAAATGGTCCTTGGCAATCAGTTATGATGGATAATTTGGGAATGTATGACAGGTGCATCTAAATTTGAATCTTCAACATCTTAATTTGAATCCGAGGGGGGGGGGGAGGGGAATCAAAATTATTGATTAGCATAACTATAGGGCTGAGTTAGTTACAGGATGGTATAAGTTGTCTGTGATCAAAGGCAAAAAAAGACAAAAGGGAAATGAGCTCCTATACCAATTTATGTCAACCATTTAAAAGAATTCATCGTCTAGTTCGAGTGTCGAGGCTTTCGGAGTTCCACAAGGCCAAAGTTCGCATGATTGCACGGTTTTGCGATCTCCCCGACCCTGGGTTTCAGCAGGCTGAAGCAAAAGCTGTTGGCCTACAGGTTGAGGTTTGGATGAGAACAAGTTTGTATGGTTTCATTGAAGCTTGAGACTAATGACCGGCATGTCCTGTCATGGCACTGTCGTTCATTTTCCCCTGTCCTCAACCATACCAGCTCTTTTTATATCAGCAGAAAGCAAGATAATCAAATTAGCAGGATCTCACTTGCTCCATGGCGGATCGATGGCATAAAAGCTTTACGCTGCATCCTCACAAGAGGGGGGAAACAATGACAACTTAAGAGTTTGTCCTTCATTGAAGGTCAGCGAACCCCTGCATCACTTCCTTTAAGGAAAGCGTAAAGAAAGGCACAGAGATACAAATCTGTAAAACAATGAATTGACGTCAAACTGGGACTCGTTGGAAAGGGGGCAACGTCCTTTGATAGTTCCACGAACTTTGGAACGT